ACTCATCAATTCGCCTTAGGACCGCCTCCACGTGCCTCACATGTTCTGCCTCTGTACGACTATATACGACCAAATCATCGCCATAAACCTCGACATTCTCCAGGTTTCTGAGCAGCAATGTCATTAGTCTTCGAAACATAAAGGGTGCGCCCGCCAATCCAAAGGGCATTCGTTTAAATTGATACTGCTTCTCCCGTACGATAAATGCCGTTTTGCTGCGATCACTGTCTTTTATTGGTAGCTGCCAATAGCCCGACCGTAAATCTAACACTGTGAACACCGTAGCACTCTGTAGACGATCTAATGTCTCCGCTATTGTTGGCATTGCACATGGTTTTATTTCTGTCACGTTGTTCAGTTCTCTAAAGTCAACACAGAATCTATACTTTCCATTTGGCTTCTTTACCAAAAGTACCGGTGAGCTGTACGGGCTATCTGCTTCTTCAATTATACCTGCTTTTAACATCTCCTGTACCTGCTGGTTTATCTCAGCTTCCAAATGTACGGGGACCCGTCGTGTTGTGAAGATGGTTACTTCTTCGCTCTTTATCGGAATTTCATGTTTGACTTTATTACAAAACCCGTACGGTTCTCCGTCTCCCGTGAACAACTTCTTATATTTTGTGAGCACCTCGTTAATGTTCTGTTTCTTTCCAATGTCCTCTTTTGCTACTCTAACCTCAGCCACCTCGCTGCTTTCATGTATTGTCAGTGTGCCGTACTTTGTAATCACCTTCTTACTTCTTGTATCAATAATTGCTCCTACTTCTCTCAAGAAATCTGCTCCTAGTATTGGTCTCGACAAGTTCGTAGTCACTACAAAGGGAAACTGTATTTTCGAACTGCCGATTTTCACGATATCATTTGAGACTCCGAGGATTTTTAACACGTGGCCGCCGATGGTGTTAACAACTAATGCACTCGGCCTGATACCTCTACACCGCTCTTTGTCTATTAACGAAACTGCCGCCCCTGTATCAATCAGGCAAACTACCTCTCGCTCGTTTATCCCTACTCTCGCATAGACCGCCCCCTTATCTACTAATGCCGAGACCCCCAGTTTCGAAAGACATAAAGAACAACTTGTGTATGGTCTAAAATATTTACGTCTTCGTCTTGTTGGGCAATTCCTCTTCCAATGTCCGGTTCCTCCGCAAATGTAGCATTTATTATTTCTTTCACCCTTTATTCGTAACGCTGCCACCTCTCGTTGTAATTCTTCTATCCTCTTCACGACATCATCAGCCTGTCTCTCACACGCCACCTAGGCGACTGTTGAGTTCATCAGTTGTCTTGTTACTTTCGCCAGCTCGGTGACGTCCATTGGTTGTGCCGCGTTCACCAGTCTCAACTGCTGGCCAATCTCTGCAGGCACACTTTCAATGAATTGCGAGGCTAGCAGCTGTGCCTGCGACTCCTCATCCAAATTCGGCAGACCCCGGCGCAGCAATCTTGTCAACTCCACGGCCAGCACGAGTGGGTCGCCGTCCACCGACAGCCGCGCCTCTCGGAACTTCTGCAGCGCATCCTGCCTATCCGCCGGGCTGTCGAACTCCAACAGCAGCCTTTCCGTCACCGCCTTCCAGTCAGCGTCCTCCACACTATCGTACACCGCCCTCGCCCTGCCTCTCAGTAGAGTCCCCAGCACCACCGCCTTCGCCTTCCGTTCCTTGACTCCGACCAGCTCCGCCACAGCCTCGAACTCCTTCAAGAAGCTCCTTACATCTCCGTCTTCAAACTCCCGAGGCCATGGTATCTTCATCCTGTGTGGAGGCAGCGACACCAATTGAGAAGACTGAGGCAGGCTCAATAGATTGTATTTGGCAAATTTACACTCTTAGTCAATTAAAAACGATAACATTACATTGAACACTCCATTTGCACACCATCTTTGAGTCCTGACTTCCAACGCTCCAGCCTTCCTCCATTCCTGCTGTTGCTTCCTTTACTTCCTGTCGGTGCTCCATTTACTTCTTGCTTTTGCTCCATTTGCTTTCCTTTTTCCTCTAGTGACCGTGAGAGTTCTTCTTTCACGTCCCTTCTTATACTACTTATATCGTTCGTATAAGTAGCACACACCACAGTATGACAACTTGAATCGATGTACGTACATAGGTACGAAGTTCTACGTTGTAGCTGATTATCGATAAATATTGGGAATTCGATTCAAGATAAAAGTAATGCTACGTTCCAGAACAGATTCACGGTTTATGATCATACATATACTTATTGCGTAATCACCATAAGCTTATTAACTACTTGTATAAGATATACTATTTATAATCTTTCACCATTTCGGGCTCATTAATATCTCATTGTTATTTTCACTTATTAGTAAGACGCGGTCAAGTGTGTTTGCATGTAAATTACTTATGTTTGAGATATATGATTCATTTGGTTAGAGGCTAGATATAGACTTTTGGACGATAGTGGCAGAGTAGAGTGAAAGAGGCTACAGAGTGATCAACCAAGCAAATCGAGAGTTAACCTAAGGCTATTGCAACTGCAATGGAATTATGATTGGTGTTTTGTTTTTTGTTATGTCACGTGATATTAGTCACAGTTAAGGACACAACAATAATACTAGAACTCAGCATCAGAACGAGAATAAACACAGTTATATTGAATGATTCGGAATCTTGTTCACTGATTGTAATTAAGTGTGAGGACTTCAATTAGTTAGTATGAGCCTACCAATATAGCTCAGATCGTCCGTCAGTCAATAATTTCACATTGATTCATGTCATATTAACCGTTCCTAACATTCAACTTGATCCCAAGTCATTAAGGACCAATCTATGAGCTTTTCACCTATACGTGTAATCCACAAGGCAGTGGAACATCAGGGGATCCAAGTCTCATGGTAGTCAGTGACTAACAAAAGATTTATTCACCATTAGTTGATAATCAGAATTTCTCAATCCCCCTCTATAGGGTTAGGTCTTCTGTACCCCACTAGTAATCAGGTTAGTTAGCTATGAAAAGGCAGTGAGTAGGACTTCTATGGCAGTGGCCATATACACATATACGCATAAGAGTATTTGAAGAGAGAAAGGAGGCAGACTCTCCTTTTTTCCAATCATACCAGGGCATTTGCGGTTTAAACAGTCAGCCAGTTGCAACGTAGAACTTCGTACGTATGTACATACCACATTACCACAGAGATGCAAATGTCAAATCAAATCCTATAGTGATAGAGATAGTAGAGGTATTAATGGTAATCAACAAGACTAGGGTTCGAAGATATTATTCAAGAAGTGAATTAAGAACGGCCATGCACCACCAACCACCAAATCAAGAAAGAGCTATCAATCTGTCAATCCTCACAGTGTCCGGGCCGGGTGAGTTTTCACGTGTTGAGTCGAATTAAACCGCAGGCTCCACTCCTGGTGGTGCCTTTCCGTCAATTCCTTTAAGTTTCATCTTTGCAACCATACTCCCCCCGGAGCCCAAAGACTTAAAGGTTTCCCGGGGGCTGCCCGCGATGTCAATTATAAAACCAACGCGGATCGTCAGTTGGCATCGTTTATGGTCAGAACTACGATGGTATCTGATCGTCTTCGAAACTCTGACTTTCGCTCCTAATCAATGAAAACATTCTTGGCAAATGCTTTCGCGGTAGTTTGTCTGGCGGCGATCCCAGAATTTCAATTCTAACACCGCCATACAAATGCCCCCGTCTGTCCCTCTGAACCATTACTTCGGATCCGAAAACCAACAAAATAGAACGGAAGTCCTATTTCATTATTCCATGCAAGAATTTTCAGGCGCATAGGCCTGCTTTGAGCACTCAAATTTGTTCAAAGTAAAGATGCCGTCCGCTCCCGACACCCGGTTAAAGGTATCCGGAAGTATGCCAACAGGACAACAAGACAAGCTCATCATCCCATCAACACCCGTAATATCACAGACACGGCTGAAAAGCTGCACAGTTACTACACCGAGACGAACACAGGTCCTGATCGTAACCAAGATCGCGAACAAGCAACGGCATGCCATCGCACAACCCAGATTCAACTACGAGCTTTCTAACTGCAGCAATTTTAATATACGCTTTTGGAGCTGGATTTACCACGGCTGCTGGCACCAGACTTGAGATGAGGTTAGAAAGACAAAGAAGGTAGAGGTGCTGACGAATCCAGAAGATTAGGATTTGAGAGAGTAAAACAACGAATGGATGCACTTGCCGACACGCATAAACTTATCTATATACTTGATCGATGAGTTAACTTTACAACTTATTAATTACTATGATTATTATCACGATACTGATCAATTGTCATTGTTATACAAGTAAATTTTACTAAATTAATAAAAAGAACTTTTCTATGCAAGTTATGTCCCGACCGTACCTGCTACCTTGACGTGGTGGTCGGGCTTGCCTATCGTGATGACCCAACCGAGCTATACTGGCTGGAACATATGTTCCTCAAGGTTCTACCATGCCAGACAGGTCGATTGGAGAACGATGAGACTAAAAGCAGCCACCCAAGGTCTGAGGGCGAAGTCGTACTGCTGACTGCAGAGGGGTGTGACAGCAGTAAGGTGTTTCCCTCGGACAACCAACATCTGCAGCGATGCTGCCTTCTCACAAGGAAGGAAGGGTTAGAAAAGGTCGGCCCTAAAAATGTCACACCTCCCCTAACTCACGGATTTCCGTCTCCTTGGGTAAGGGTGCCCACTAAGGGCCTTTAAGAACGGAGCTAATCCTCAAAATACCTTTCATAAAAAGGCCGTACGTATCCGGCCTGAAGCAGTTGTTCCTTGGGCTCTGTGGTCACGCTCCCAGGTCTCTAAGACCAGCACTAATCTATCTTCCTTTTCAGGTCCCTCAAGAAACACCCTTTCATGGTGTGGGCAGCCGGGAAGTGACAACTGCCCTCATACCCGTAACAGCACACTGTTCGTTCTCATTCAGTAATAATTTTCTTGTTGATTTTTCCTCTTTCTTCTCTATGCTGACTGATGCAAGTTATGTAATGACTATAGTGAAAACTTACTGCTAATTCCAATAAAATTCGACAATGCCAATATGGACTGTTATTTGATAAACGAATAGCATCATTTAAAATACACGTTGCTTCATAACGTTTACCCTAAAATTGTAAAAAAGAAAAAAGAGGAATAAGCCGAGAGAATGGACAGATTCAATTTTATGAGTTACAAACTTTTGTATATATTACAAAAAGAAATGGGACTCTAGATATGAATCGTCAGTCAGTCAGATGCAACGTAGAACTTTGTATGTAAGTACATCAGTTCATGTTGCCATACCACATCAGCACAGAGAAATGTAATTGTCAATTCAAATCCAATAGTAGAAGAGGTAGTAAAGGTGTATTCGAAGTAATCGGAGAGGTTAGGATTAGTAGATATTATTCAAGAAGTATGATTCAGTGAGAAAAGTTTATAAAGTCAAAACTAGAGGTGTTGAAAAATCCAGAAGATTAGGATTTGAGAGAACACAGAGAATAAATGCACCGGCGCCATTGCAAACGATTTTGAGCCATGTCATTCAGGGTATCTAACCATCGATTATTATCATCTCGCGGACCCCAACCAGGTGGTAGTCGACAATTACCGACATGGCTCAGTCCACTCGTCAATGACTTCATGCATTTCTGAAATGTTTTAGTTTGGCCGCCTCTAACTTTCTTCCAACCTATTCCTACACTACAAAACAAAGCTCGACGAGGCAGTCGGTGGTTGCGCATACGCAACACATGTCCCAACCACCTCAACTGGTGAACTTTCAGCACTTCATCGATTGATCTGCCATTCTTACCTAGCACCCGATTCCTAATAACAGTGTTGCTCACTCGGGTGTCCCACGACATAGTTTGTGTAAAGGAAAGATATTTTATTCGTAACGAAAATGCGAAAAAAATGAAAAAAAAAACAAAAAAAAATTACACTTACCTTTCTTTCAAAAAATTCCGCTAATAATGTAGCTGCTTCAAATTTAATAGAATCATCATTTGCTTTTAAATGTGCACCTAAAGTACGCGCTTTTTCCAAATGATATTTTGTTTGTTCATCACTTTTACTATAATGAAATAATAAACGTCCAAGTTGTAAATGTGTACGTGCTTCTAAATTGACAGAAAGTTTAAATTGTAGTATAGCTTTAAGACAATGTACAGCAAGTCGCATATTAGGAGGACTCATTGTTCGAAATGTTTCAGCCAAGCCTAATAGAGCAGCATAACAATCAGATAGAAGAGGTCCATCCACTGGTAGTTCTGTAGTTATATGACTTGGCTGATTAGATTGAGTACTAGTAGATTGTGATGAGTAACATGCTAATGATTGTGATGATTGGATGATAGTGGAAGGTAAAATATCAGCAGTATTATAGACAGGTTGTGTAGGAGTTATTGTTTTTTGATGAGTTGTTGGATTGATAGGAGACCATAATTGTGGTTGAGTAGCTTGAGATAAAGAAGTAGTTGCATTATTTGCTCCGTGCATTGAACTCTTCCGTATAATCAGTAGCAGTTAATAATAATATTTGAAATTTTGTTAAACCTAATTAATAAACAAAATAATTTATGAGTAATATTATGAACACAGGCTGACCGTGATTTGTTGTAATCAGTGGCCAAAACAAACAGAAAAAATGAACAATAGTTACTAACTTATTAAGAGCAAGAATCTCAGACGAAAACATATAGTGGTATTATTCTTTTGAGGTTATACAAAAGCGAATTATCGCTCTCACCATTCTTACAAGCTTTATTATGGCCTATTTCTAGGTTTCAGTTTAAGTGCTCATTACTGTAGAAGTCCTCATTTATTATAAGCTGACTTACTATCATAAAAGAGATGACAATTTGATATGTATCAGCTTTTTGGTAGAACAACTTCTTTATGTTGTTACCATCCATCCTTACTTTTATATCAAAAATAATTTCTTGACTCTGATCATATTCTTGTTCACGCTAATCTTATCCTATGTTTTAGTAGAGAACAAACTCATCTTTCTAGGCTGATTGATGCTAGGTTCAAGACTAGATATCAACTCACTGAAAAGTATAAATAAGCATTAGCTGTAATTTCACGATGCCATTAAAATAGCAAGTAAAGTCTCTTGTGGCTTTGCGTAGCATTTCGCTTGTAAGCACTGCCTTTCTACAAGCTCCTTACAACTTGAAGCACAGTCTACTGTGTATAACTACAAATATGACAATAAAAAAAAGACTGCTTTGTGATCAAACCGTGAAAAGTTTGTGTAAGGACTGAGAAACCTGATCAGTCAGTCAGTCAGTCAGTTACAACGTAGAACTTCGTAAGTAGATGTGTTGACGAATCCAGAGGATTAAGATTTGAGAGAACACAAAGAGTGAATGCATCTGCGTCAATGCTAACGATTTTGAGGTATATCGTTCAAGGTGACTTTTGTCTATCGGAACCCAACCAGGTAGCCTACATCTACTAATATGGCTTAGTCCAACTGGCAGTGATTTTATGGGTTTCTGACATGCAGCCCATAGCTTTCTCCCTACCTACTACTACACAACAAAACATAGTTCGTCGAAGCAGTCGGTATTTGAGCATTCGTAACACACGCTCCAACCACCTCAACTGATGAAGTTTCACCACTTCATCTATTGACCTGCCATCCTTAACTAGTACTCGTTTCCTAACGATAGCATTGCTTACTCAGTTGTCCCGCGGTACACGGGCAATGCTTCTAAGACATCGATGATCGAATACTAGTAACCTACGAACATCTACTCTTAACGGCCATGTTTCGCATCCATATAGGAGAACGGAGAGAACTGCTGAACAGTGCACTCGTCCTTTAGTCAGCAAACGGATATGTCGCCTACGCCATAAGTGACGCAGGTTGGAAAAGCCAATCGAGCCTTCTGTATCCGTGCTGAGATTCCGTCAGTGACCAGGCTATCAGCGCTGATGAGGCTCCCTAGATAAGTGAAGTGATCAACACGCTCGACTACTTTACTCCCTATCGCTAGTTTAGGTGCCGATGCAACCCATTCTTGAAGCAACATTTTGCATTCCGAGGGTGAGAACCGCACCCCAAACATGGTTTTGAAATGGTGGAGAAAATTTGTAGCTCAAACATGGTTGCATTATTGCTTAGGGCAGTCAGAAGACTGCATTTTGTCAGCGTCTTCACCAAGTAGAACTATGTCATAGGCAATATTCTGTCAACAAGCGAGTTCCCTGGTTGAAGGTTCACTCTTGAAAAGTCAGATGATGATAATGTTAACTCTAAGAGCAAGTCTATGAAAAAGTAAAACCGAGAGTGGAATTAAACCCAGTATTCACATGGCGTGTGGCACGAATTTCGTAAAACCTTACTATCTTCTCGAATGGCCATTAAAACTGAAGCGACGAGTAATAGAATGACGAAATGTGCAGGTTATAGAATCAGTTTTTAGACCCTTCTTTTTAGGGCGAGAAGGCATCATCATTCTATAAGCTAAGTCTTAATAAAACATACTATCACCTTCATAGTTCAGCCAGTTAAGCTAAAGCCATGAAATTACGTCAGAAGAATTGAACACAAACCACATGCTCTAACTACATTAGTAGGAAATGCGGATATATTTCTCTCGAGTTGGGTAAAATGAAAGTGTTACGTCAAAACTCGACAGCTTTCTTCGTATTTTCGCAATAATTTCTTTATGCACAAGTTATCCCAGAAATTTAATAATTGGTGTGATCAGACGCCTATATCTTATGTGAAATATGGATGCCCAGTTTGAACTCCACGTTCCATGTGCTATATATTCCGGACGAATAAATCTGAGACACACTCTAATCCAGATTTTGAAATTACTTTCAATGAGAAACCGACTAGTACAAAATGACTATAACCCTGACGACAATAAACAGGTTAGCCAACATTTGGGGTTGGATCAGCAAGTGTGCTGTTCTAAGTGAAATGAACTGTGTTCAGGAAAATACTTCTAGATAGATATATTTCAGTGATTTTTATAAATACCAGTTTCATGGAAGCGAAAATTAATCAAGTAAACCCAGACATGCATTCTTTAGATTACCTTATATGTTACCCACCAACTTTGAAAGGGTGACCTCAATTTTCAATTTTCAGTCTTCAGCCTCCAGTGGTAATGATAAGTTAGTCAACCTATGTGTGTGGTGAATAATGAATACATTTGGTGTATTTTTAGCTTTTTTAAATCAACAATATAACAATACAAAACAATTTCATACTCTAATTTATAAGACAGAACCAAGACAGCTCCATCAAGCCATAGCTGGGTCAGCCTCATGTGATTCTTAGCTGGAAAAAACCATTAAGAATATTGAAAAAGACAGTTACAAAGTTCTTGTAAGCACATGACTTGTTAAACAATGAACAACATGGTTTTATTATGCGTAACAAACCTGTTTATACTGAGAGTGTTGGACAGCATCGATAGATAATGGAAAATCAGTAGATGTTGTCTACGCGGACTTAAGCAAAGTATTTTATAAGACTGCGAGCTGTAGACTACTCTTAAATCTGGGGAGTTGAGGAACTTCCGGACCTCTACTTGAGTAGATCAAAATTTCTAGGCAGGTCGAAGACAAAAAGTGAAAATAAATTCTAAATGCTCCTCTGGGAAGTTAACGTTCAGCAGGGTACCGTAATGGTCGGTTCTAGTTCCCTTGCTTTTTATACCAAATACAAGTGAACCCACGAGTATTACTAAGTCACTGATGCTACTTTATGATGATTCAAAAATTTAGCGAGAAACAACGGGGAACGCAGACGCAAGTGCACTTCAATCTGATTTCGATGCTCTGGTCAGCTGATGTAAAACATAAATAATCCCTACTAACACACCCAAGTGTGACTCCATGCACTTTTAGAGTACAAAAACAAATAGATACAGCATTGAGGAAAAGTTGATGTCCGTAAATAGGTCTTACAATGATCTAAGGTTATTAGTAAACCACGATTTTAAGACCGTGGCTCACTGCCATGCGGTTTCAGCTGAGGGATTCAGAACCCTGCAGGTTCTAAGACAGACATTTATCGAGATAGACAGTAATGTTTTCACGACGATATACACAAACCTAGTTGAATCCTAACTTGAAGACTGAGTTCAGGCTGCAAGCCCCTGTTTAAAGAGTGACTCTTATCTCGAAAGAAGTAGAGCGGACAGCCATTCAAGTTATTCCGGGACTCAGAGTTTTGTCATACACAGGACAGCTTGAAAAGTTAGAACTCTTTACTCTGTACCACCGAGACCAAGAAGCGATTTGGGTATTGATGCCTAAAATACTAAGAAATTATTTTAGGCCTGATATATGCGTTCTTTTTCTTCTTACGAAATCATGACGACATAGCGGACATAGCAGGCGAGTACAAAAGATAAAGACAAACAGAATTAAGGTGAAATACAGGTTTTTAAACCAAGTTGTCAATTTTTAGGGCGTGTTACTAGAATACATGGTGTCAAACCTTCAATTGACTAGCTCAGTAGAAGACTGGACACTAGAAAAAACCAATATTGGTATTAAATCTCCCGTCCTCAGTACACGAATCCGAATCTGACAATTCTGTGCATGTAATGGAAAGAATACTTTGAAAATCCCTTCATAGATTTCATTGGATAGTGCTGTTATTTCCTTGTTGTTTGACCATATTTTGTTTTGAACTTTTACTCAGGACTCTTGTAACACAGTTTTATGTTTCCCAGTCATTAGCTAATACTTACTTAATCGTTTTGCGCTAGACAGTTTGCTTTTTAGTTGCATACATCATTCTTGTAACTTCTCATTATGAATACATTGCAACTGAACAGTGCTACGCGTATAATCATGTGTACGCAAACCTACTACACCGATTGTAGCTCCCAGTGCTAGATCTGTATTAACTTCTTTTAATCACGCTTCGTACTCATCCTTCTCCACGTAACTGTCACTTTGCCTCCAATGATTACCATTTCATTCTGTCTAATCATCATTCAGAGGTGTTTAGGCGGCTTGAAAACAAAACCTCCTCATCGAGATGCATATTAATACCCATTAGAGGGATTGGGGAGAAAATGAACCTCAGATCGATCACTGAGCTGAAAAGATGACATGACCAAAAGCTATACTGTACCCGAAAAATGAATAGAGATCAAAAACATTTGTAAGTACAGTACTTGGTTTACTATCTTATTCAGATTACTTTATTTTAAGGTGAGAATGATATTTCTGACCCATTAAGAACGAAATAAAACAAAAAATAGTTCCTCCAGTAAAACAGCTTGACCTTATGTATAGCTCTATTGATGTTTTAGGCTTGCAAATTTGCATCCTCTAAATTCTCGGAGCCCAAACTAAGCGCTAGAAAGAGAGAGGATATATTTTTATGTTATGATTATGTCACCTTTTAATTATTGCAGACAATACGAAAGGTCTGACTTTTCAGACGAAACTGGATCCGGTGAAATTCGGAGTTCGGGATTTCGGGGTTACCTGCCATCTGTATTTCTTTAGGGATAGTCTACCCACCTTCTAAGCAAAAACATGATTCCTGAACTTGATTTTTCGGTTTATATCTCCCCAGATTTGTGTGCATTGTGGTGAAAATATTCCCATCCAACTTCCAGGATATTCCTCTTAACAGTCACAAATTTTAATCCCGTAAGCTACATTCAGAGCAGAGTAAAATGGGGTCGTTAGCTAAAGACCACTGGATGACTGTAGATTAAGATTGACGAAAGTGACTGTTGTTTAAAAGTAAAGTTACTGGCAACTATCTACCCATTTTTATTGTAAGCACATCACGGTCTTGCTTGGGACTTTTCACAACCTGGATCAGCCTACTTTTCTGTTGGGATTGTGCTGCAGTTCCCATATGTCCTGACGTCATCAGAGTAAATTAGTGTCGTGAAATCAGCGAAACTCATCAGTTCATTGACAGGTCGAAGAAGATGAATGACATGGGGTGGATTCCTGTTATGCAGCATTCAGTACTCAGGAAAGTCTAGAATTTATTCCTACCTTTTATTAGCGACCAACCTGGACGTTTCTGGTCCACTGGGTAGCGTGAGTTGCAAGTTATTCTGTATGTTCAACGAATGGCCAACCCGGTCCAGCTTATTCTGCCTTATCTAAGAGGTCTATTGTTTTTGATGCGTTGTAACGATCAAAGTCACTACAAACAACTGGTCTTGTGATCTTGCTTCTAGAATTAGTCCTGAGTTTGGTAGACATTCATGGGTAAAGACAATCCAGAAGTAACATGTTGTGGCTTCTATTTTACCGTGTTCCTCAGCTATTGTTGGACGTAGGCTTCTCTTCATAGTTAGAGTGATAATATTTTGGTGAATCCTTGTCCTATTATTGCCTTCTGTATTACCCTCGAACAATATGGATGGTGCTCGTTTATTTTTTCTCCATAAATTAATGCAGTTCTGTTGCCCTTTAGTGAAGATCCGTCTTCTCAGTCATTGTATATTTAGCCTCAAGGATTGGTTGGTTAAGATCCAATACTATTACAACTCTTACGACACTATAGTCTGTATTCACATACGTTGCGCTCATCTTTAAAGAATTCGTTGCAATTATTGTCATGCTGTTGTCTATAGATTATAAAATTTACAGACTCTTCATAGTAGCTGAGTGTTTAATAACTGTTCCCCTCTCGTTCTCCCCAGCGTAGCCATAAAGAGTTGACATGTTGGAAAGTTATTCTTCTGCTGCTCATGTGTGAGATAACTGACCCTCTTATATTCCACAAAACTAAAGTGCAATCGCTGTTTGTTAAGAACTCTTGTTGCTGCCTAACAGTGATTATTTGGATGACTCCTGCATTTCTTTTGTAAATTTTATCTCTTGCTAAGTGGATATCCTTTTCTCTGTGTGGAATATAATTCCGTAATTTATAATAACACCTGTCCTATTTCGACAAGTAGTCAGTTCATACGTTAGCTGTCAAGTGTTTTTCAGATGGGGTTTACCAGATATTGTGATAACTGACGTTTCCAATTGGTGAAAAAGTTTTTTCAGGTATATTTTGCTAACTTTGCCCTGTTATTTCATCTCGTAACACTTCCTAGCACAATTTTGAACGTCTTCCCACGTACTACATTGTAATCGTCTTTTCATTGATTGTAGCTCATAGATATTGTGACAGTCTAGGTTAAGTATTTACTGTCTAGCTGTAGACTCCAAACTCCAACATATTAATGTTGTTTAGAACCATAAGATCCAAAAAATTCAAACCTCACTTTGGATTTTACAGTTCTAAACAATAATAATCGATTGGATTTTGGATTGTACACTAGCCGAATACAGAAGTCAGGATTAAAAAATTTTAATCTGAAGTGAGTATTTACTTCCCTTCTTCAAGTAAACGTCATATTTTATATTATTGCACTTTGAATGTTGTAAGGTCTGTTTGTTTTAACGATAATCTCCCCGCTCCATTGTGATGCTGATCAAGATATAGACAGAGATCTACCAAAATCATGTTGTTACCAATTCACCAAAAAAACTGTTGGCACTGTCACACTGAAGTTTCCCAAATTCTTTATTCTGAATTTGTTACATTTTCGGCGTGATGCCACGCCGATTGAATCCTATGAAACATGTATGATTTAATGTACCTTATTTCAACAAAGGTAGATTTACTTCTCTGGTGTTATAAAAGGACTTGCTAGGTCATTACAGTCCCCTTGAAAGTCAATTGTTATCATTGTTTAGCGAAAGATCTCACCTCTCAAATCCCCTTAATATTGACGTCAAATAAAATTGCCAATCTTTTATATGGCGATGTGACTCCCCACAGTATCTTATTTGTCTTAAAATATTCTCGGTACATGTCAAACGTCAAACTTGGAGTGTTCAAACTGTGAGCACTAATCTATACGAATCTTCGTAAATAGGTAACTTCCTCACGAACTAATGGTGACTGCAGTGCAAACAGAGTCTAATATAATCAAATCTCTTAGTTCTTCAGCAATATCCATGGGGGACAAACTTTGATATTATACTTACTTCTGCAGACTACTGATTCTTCCACTGTCACAAATAGGCATTCGTTTGCAAAAAGAGGAGAGAATAAATTGTAGTTACCTACTCCTATTTGCCAAAACAGAACAAATGATGGAAAAATGTCACAACAGACTGATAGTTGAGTAAGTTTCATCCTGTGGTGCAGTAAAGCCTGTTTGGCAACACTGACAATATCATTTTTTTCTTATAACAATGATAAAAACTAATGTAATCCGCACTTTCTTTGGATACTCTCAGCGACCCTTAAATCAGTCAGGAAACGAGAATTCTGGCTACAGTTAGAGCTACAGATGTGATGCTGGCCCATGAAATGAAACATTATTACAATGGAACAAGACTAATGATCCATATATCCGAACTCCTTCGACACTTACTGTGTCAAGATAGGTCGAAGGATGTATCGTGTGGTTATAATTGAAGGTAGTCTTCAATACTAGACTCCCATCCACAGATAACTTCAAAACCAGTTTGCGGTGGATGACTACCCTTATCATTAAGCATTTTAAATATCCGGTCATTAGTTATTTCAACCAGTGGTAGTTCTATGAAATAGTTACATACTTCTGACTTTGAGATCAATCTGCTAATTTGTTACTGTAGTGTATTGGCAACATGTAACTGAATTACTGCTGCAGTTCTGATCCATACTGTCGATGAAATTCTGTGCAGTCGTTAAAAGAAATTAAAATAAAACACCATCTTCTAACTCTTTCTTCGCATCCCACCAGAAAGACTTCTGTTCATGTTCTTACTTTAAAGTCAACTACAAAACTTTTTATTTCACTCTAAATACTGTTTGTGAGATCTTGAGTTTACAGGTGTTATGCCTGCCGGTACATTTTCGTATTTCGCTTCAACTTAATTTTCCCTTGTTGATAAACACTTCAAATACGATACTGCATTGTTGCCTAGTTATGTCGGTGGTATTGATTGGTAGACGTTATTCTATAGGTTCTATGGACTGGAATAGTGGGGGGATCATTCAAGCCCCCTAAACTCATTTAGCTGGTTCGGTGACGTTCAATAATTTTGCCATTGGTGTGAATACTGTACAACTTAGGCCTTTTTATTTTTTTCGGTGAGCTGTTGTACACAATAGACCTATGATTTTTCTTTCCGCTGAACATCTCTCTTCTCAACAACCACATAATCCACAATTACTATGTCCTGCTTACAAATACTGACCAAAATTTAACTATCACTGGTGAAGGATAACTCGTTAGTATTCGTTCAGAATATTTCAGCCTTGAAATGCCTACTGTAGCAGTCTAGAAATGGGCAAGGGTGTAAGCAAGACAAGTAAATATTCCAGTGAAAGGTACTTACAATTTAAGTCTTGAATAACAGTCAGCGGCGGTATGTAGCCCTTGGTCTATAACTAAAAATTACGATGACAATGGAAGCATGTAACGGCGTACGGAATGATTTCACTTCTTTCTTCATCTATATACGATATTTCTTATTTTCATTTACTGCATAATGAACGAGCCGTGTCAAAAGGGCCCATCGGTCCTATTAACTCTCCTGGGTATCATTTATGACTGGGGCTCACGAAAAACCTAATTTGTCATGGCGCTTCTCTGCTCAACGTGAATATATTCAAATGCAGGGCTAAAGGATATACTTGGTTGGGTTTTCAACAAGATAGGGTTCTCCTCGTTATCAAAGCCATATAAGCATTAATACCTGATTCAACACTTGAGTATTATACCTTTCCTTTCATAGTGCTTTTGGCAACCATCTTCATAAATAACTGTACGAACGTGATGGTTAGCTTTATTCTAAATTATTTCCTGGGTCATTTTCACTGGGAGGTTCCTTGTAAGATATCCAGTTCGGGGTATCATTGGAATGATGCCGCTACTTCTAAGTTGAATTCCTACCATTAATAACTTTGGTTGGGCTGAACTTTAGCCAGAAGGGAGACATTTATGTAAAGTGGTGTTGGTTATTAGATTCCATCACCAATAAGGCTGTCTCAGCTGGGGTACAAAACTTTTCGAATACATTTTTAAGGAATATGGTTTTTGCACTAACTCAAGGAATTCATGGACTGAATAATTGAAACAGTGAACAACAGGAAGGAGTAATCACCACATTCATTAAGATATGAGGTGACTGGGTCAAAAACTACTTCATTGATAGTGGAATTTTCCGTCTAAAACATTCACTTTAAAACCACAGAGAATACACTGAATTGTGCTTTCACGTAATCTCAATTCTTCCAAGTAATTGAAGCTGTGGGACAATTCAGGAGTTATTAGAAAGTGATATTAGTTTTAAAAAGTCGAATTCACTGAAGAATAAATCCCGTGTTAATTGGGAATTCCTGATGCTTTAGGAGGTCTACTCACCATTCCAATCAGGCACGTTCTATCAACTATTCTTCTTTAACTAGGTGCAAGTCTGTTACATGAAATTCTAAGAACTCTGAGAAAGAGGACAGGAAACTAGGGATCCAGAAGACTACGATATTCAGTTATTTCCTCATTTTGTACAAACACCATGCTTTTTATTACCCCATATTTAGTGTTTAGAAGCTTATGCATTCCGTTTTCGATCTCGCACCCTAGGTGCTCCACGGACCATGTAATACACATCTTTCAAAACCACCCTGAAATTTTTGATATATCTATAAAGTAATGGGTAGGTAGGTTGGCTGCCTAGTGGAAAACTACCAGAATTTCCACTTTTCAGTTTGTTGGCTGTACACTGAAAGAGAGCTCATGCTTAACTTCCCTCTTAGGTCTCTGTATTGACAAATCTCTTTAATTTAGTGGAGTATGCCACTACTACTACTACTACTACTACTACTACTACTACTACTACTACTACTACTACTACTACTACTACTACTACTACTACTACTATTCAGTAGCTGAAGTTTTAGCATCAGTTATTATTGAAAACCAAAAGTTTCTGTTTGATTCTAGGCATGACCATTAATAAATTTTCTGGTTTACATTGGCTAGTTAAAAAGACATTGGATAATGAAAGTTGTTTCTTTAGTTCATTTTATGCACAATAGCCGCCACGCATTGTGACTTTGGTGTTGACGATGACTGGTAAGATCTGGGTTCACCATACAATAATCATTCCACATAGTGAAGTTTTTGGATATCGTCAAGCCGTTTTGTGCAATCCTACCGGAGATCTCTCGCCCTGAGCGGAAAATCCAGTTTAGAGAACGTGTATTATGGACCGGAATAACTTTAATGATATTTCTCTTTTGTTGTCAAATACCACTTTTCGGCATTATGTCATCTGAATCTGCCGACCCTCTTTATTGGCTTCGAGTGATTTCTGCATCAAATAAAGGAACACTCATGGAGCTTGGAATATCTCCTATCATAACGTCTGGCTTGATTATGCAACTTCTTGCTGGGATACAAGTACTCTCTGTTGGCGATGCACCAAAAGACAGAGCTTTATTTAATGGAGCTCAGAAATGTAAGTTGTTAATAATACTTGACCCTTCAGTATTCGGCATGGTTATAACTGTTGGCCAAGCTTCTGTGTATGTTATGTCCGGAATCTATGGTGCACCAAGCGAACTAGGGGCAGGGATTTGTCTATTAATAATCTTTCAGGTTTGTTGTTATTTTTAATCATTCTTGCTTTAGCTGACGTTCGCAGGTCTTTTAGTTTTAATGTTGGATGAACTTCTCCAAAAAGGTTATGGATTGGGTTCTGGTATATCATTGTTTATTGCAACCAATATTTGTGAAACCATCGTGTGGAGAGCAATTAGCCCCACTACTATTAACACTGGACGAGGTAAATGTTAATTTTTACGTTTAATTTTCTAGGTACGGAATTCGAGGGTGCTATAATATCACTGTTTCATTTACTGGCCACTCGTACTGATAAAGTCCGTGCACTAAGAGAGGCGTTTTATCGTCAAAATTTGCCAAATCTAATGAACATACTTGCAACTATTCTTGTGTTTGCTGTCGTTATTTACTTCCAAGTAAGTTGACCGAAATTTACCTAAGTTCTTCAGAGTTTCAGGGTCGACATTGCAGTTAAATCAATCCGATATCGTGGGCAATCAACTTCATATCCAATCAAACTATTTTACACTAGCAATGCTCCAATCATGCTGCAAAGTGCGCTTGTTTCTAATCTTTATGTCATGTCACAAGTAAGTAGCATCAAATGTTTATAAGATTTGTGTTAGATGTTAGCTAGCAAGTTCCGAGGCAACTTTATTATTAATCTTTTGGGTGTTTGGTCGGATGGTGAAGGTGGTTCTCGATCTGTGCCTATTGGTGGATTGTGTTACTATATGACGGCTCCGGATTCTTTGGGTGATATGTTAGTGGATCCTATACACGGCATTCTGTATATTGCTTTTATGCTTGGAAGCTGCGCGTTTTTCAGTAAAATATGGATTGATGTCTCAAATTCTAGTGCCAAAGATGTGGTTAAACAACTAAAAGAACAACAGACTGTCGTCCCAGGACATCGGGAAAATTCAATGGTGCATGAGTTGAATCGTTATATTCCAACAGCAGCTGCACTCGGTGGTCTATGTATTGGTGCTCTTTCAGTTTTGGCAGATTTCCTAGGTAAGTTAATGATTTCAATTTCTTGCGTTGCATTCTAACTACTATTTTGAACAATACAGATTTATCGTTAGTTGGCAAATATCTCCACATCGTTATGTAAAGCATTCAGTGAATCTATGACCGAATAGAACACTTGATTCTCCCAATTATTGATTCGCAAGTTTGGACATCTGCATAGAGTAGCAATAATTAGCTTATGCATAGTATAGTACTCTCGAAATTACTACACTATGATACATATGATCAGTTCCTTCCGTTCATTCTTCTCATGTCTGTCTCCGTTTCTTGGTGTAGTGTGTTCCTCTTTTCCTTTAACCTTCAGGGTTACAAGTGAGGGTTTGTTTCTAACTATATATAAATATATTTATATAATTACTTCGGATCTTGGAGGATCCAGGCTACATGTATTCATTTTGCCAGATAACAGTTAGTCACTAGGTGGAAAAGGATTCGTTCATGATTCTCTTATAAACTTTACGGTCCACTATCCTATACATTTTGCACTATATTTCCCTGAAACTTTTTTACTGTTCTTAGAACCTGCTGATATAGTAACTTTTACCATATCTCTTTGATTCTCTCCTGTGTGTTATATTATGAATTGTGACAGTCCGCAGTGATACCATTTTTTCCCAGGTTCTAAATTGCCTTCGTCTACTCGCGATCTTTCAAAATCTTTGTGTAGCAATCTTCCTTGTTGGGGTGGTAACTCGTCTGACTTCCAGACCGAGCACTTATTAGGTCGTCGTATCTTTCGCTTAATACAGACGTTTTATATAAATCGCTTCCTCAATCCATTCACATACAATATCACTCAAAGGATTCCCACATAGTGTCTCGTCTCTGCAACGTAGTAGAGCTCTGGAATACCGTCTGTTGAAAGGCAGTCATAACCTTTTAACTATCTACCTGTTTTCGTTTGTACAATTCACCAAAATTTTCATTTGTATAGCTCACTGAAATAGTTATGTATAAATATGTACACAAAGGTTTAACCTAGTGGTACTCTATGCCAGATATTGATAGTATATGGGAGGTTCGAACTAGTGATCGCGTACTAACAAATTGCTCACTAGACGGCGCATTTACTAAAATGGATTTATTAGTCAAGTACAAATCTGAATATTCAGCTCTAATTTATCTCCTTTGCAAGGTTTAGTTATACTGTTCAGTTAGTTCATCTATCGAAACCAAAGTAGGGAAAACCGAGTTCAAATCCGCTATGTAAAATAGGCAATCTGAGTGTTCTAACCGCTCAGTTTTTGGCCTTAAGTCATTTATTTATTTGAAGAGGTTGGTAACATGATCTGGAGTACTGACGTATTGTAGGACCATTAACACAGACATTTCTGTGTTATGCACGGTAGTAAATTCCGAAGTTATGGGTAGGTATGTTTGGTTAGCCTGAACATCACTTATTTCAGGTTACTCTTCTGGTTGAACAAGTACGTTCATACTTTTCATACAACAACTACGCGTTTTTCTTCGTCGAAAAGTTTTGTAAAACACGTTAATTTTTGGTTTGAGCTGTAGCAACTCGTTCCAGCACATTTGTATTGAGTTCTACTTCGTCTTTTTACGCGAAACCCCATAAAATTGTTTAAAGCGACGCACTTTTCTAAGAGTAGGCTCATTGTTAATTTCATACCGAAGCTTTACTGTGTCAGTCAGTTACAACGTGGAACTTCGTACATGAGTACATAGATTCAGGTTGCCATACCGCATCAGCACAGAGCCTCACTGAAGTCCTAATTTCCTAACAATCGATAGTATGAAACTCGTAATTGTCACTGGCCACTGTGGGGATGCAGTTCCCGGTATTTCTACTTTTGATGTAAACCGACCAAATATTGGGGAGAAAGATTATTACAATAGTCTGTTGCTTCAGTCGAAACATACGTGATATGCCATCAAGGAAGTAGTAGTAGCTTAGTGGTTAGGGCGTTTGGCTTTCAAACCACTGAGTACCGGAATTGAGCTTTGCTTTGAACAACAAATTAATTTTTTATTAACCCTCATACTAAAATTGTAGTTTGCACATAAGTGGTACCTACTACTAGAGCAAATGGATTAATCAATCAACATGTTATATCAGACTTGATAAGTTTTCCTTTGTAAATTTTTTAGTGTACTGCACAAACGTCACAAGCAATGTAAAATTAATTCATTGTGTTTATTATTGTTACAGGTGCAATTGGAAGTGGAACAGGTATCTTGATGGCTGTCACAACAATCTATCAATATTATGAAGTTTTTGTACGAGAACAAAGTGAAATGGGTGGTTCTATGAGTTCTTTGTGGTTATAAACAACTATATCATCACAAGTCTTTCTTTATCTATTCAAATCCAATCCATATGATGTGTTTATTCTAATGAGGAGTGAGTACATAAAAAGACATGGATTCAGACTGTTGTATGCTTAGAAAGACTATAAAAAAAAAGAGTCAACATATTTCGACTGTATATTATTTACTAATTCTCTTTTTTTTCTCACTAGTATTTATTGGTCATCAGTCAGTCACATAATAATAATAATAATAAATAATAATAAATGTTTGGTTTTTTTTCTCTGTTCAGTATTTCTGTCCTAATTATCAATTCAACATCATGTACATTCTGATCATCATTATTCTATTGTTTTGCACCATGATTTTATAATCATCAAACACAGTTTATGTCTTCTTTAATTAAATTTTTCAAGTGTGGAAGTGTTTATACAAACAGTGTCAAACTATTTTACTGTTTATTGACTTGTTTAAATTACAATACAACCTATGTGCATTGTTCGTTACATTAGGCCCCCTCCCCCCCGTTACATACAAAGTAGTAAGTAGTTGTTGAAGAATATAGGCACTATTGTTGATTAGGGTATTCGATTATTCATGTACTCATGATATACCACTTACTACGACCCAGGCTGATAAGTACCAATCGCATTCTGCGCTATTTTGATGTCTGCCCGACCGAAGCTGCTACCTTGACGTGGTGGTCGGGCTTGCCTATCGTGATGACCCAACCGAGCTATACTGGCTGGAACACATGTTCCTGCAGGTCCTACCATGCCAGGCAGGTCGATTGGAGAACGATCAGACTAAAAGCAGCTACCCAAGGTCTGAGGGCGAAGTCGTACTGCTGACTGCTATAGAGGGGTATGACAGCAGTAAGGTGTTTCCCTCGGACAACCAGCATCTGCAGCGATGCTGTCTTCTCACAAGGAAGGAAGGGGTTAGAAAAGGTCGACCCTAAAAATGTCACACCTCACCCTAACTCATGGATTTCCGTCTCCTTGGGTAAAGGTGCCCACTAAGGGCCTTTAAGAACGGAGCTAATCCTGAAAAAACGTTTCATAAAAAGGCCGTGCGTGATCGGCCTCAAGCAGTTGTCCCTTGGGCTCTGCGGTCACGCACCAACACTAATCCATCTTCCTTTTCAGGTTCATCAAGAAACAACCTTCCACGGTGTGGGCAGCCGGGAAGTGACGACCGCCCTCATACCCGTAACAGCAATTTTGATGTCTGATATGCCCATTAACATGTCAATGGTTCAGTGAATCGCCTTCCTCGTAGTTATGCTCCTGTTACTACGTTTGCCATTACGGTGGTAGACTAGACAATCTCAAACGGTGGTCTTTTCTTAGGAAACTTATGGTTTACTGCCGGCTCTAAGGAGTTCCTCTTAGTGACCAATATGGCGTTGGGTATTATTGGATGCTGATGATCGTTGTGTAACACAGTCTCGTAAATTCCATTAAAGGGTAGTTTGAACGTCATTAGCTACGCAGGAGATAACTCACAGTAGCGGATGTTGCTAACCTTGGACATGTTAAGTGCGCCTAGTTGTATACTGATTTTGTGGAATGCGATGTCAGACTGTCAAGCTCAAGCTGTCAAGCTGTCCCGATGCTACAGTTATTTCAGTTGGTTCTACCATAATTTGGCTGTTTATTTATGATGTCCATACTAGTTAATACAAGTACTTTTTGATGAACATCTGTATTCTAGTTCTCACTTGATTCATTCCTCGGTCATTGAGTGTAAAGATTACAAGTATAAGTTCTCTACAACAGACTTGTGAATCCTACATTACTATTTACACTTGTTGCCTCCAATGAAGCACAGACCGCCGACCTACTCTGTCTTGAACCTTTCTTTCCGGTCCTAGCCAATAGCCAATGTATGTTTCCAATTCTCAACATAATGTTTTCTTTGGTCTTCTTTTCCTTTTGCCTCGAGACGTAGTCCGGTTCACATCCAACGCTTCTTCCTCAGCTAGATGAATCTGGTTTGTTCTTTTTCACAGTAGGCTGTTGCAGATAATTTCTAGCCAATGAATCCGAAGTATTTTGCATAGACAACCGTTAATGAACACTTGTATCTTCTGTATGATGGCTTTCGTGGTTCTCCAAGTTTCCGCCATATGCAGTAGAACTGTCTGAACAATTGTATTGAAAATTGTGACTGTTGATGTTGGCTGATAGTTGTTTTGAGTTCCGGATGTTCTTCCATTGTAGAAATGCTGCCTTTGCCTTTATCAATAGGTACTTTCACATCGGCATCAGACCTACCTTGTTTATCAATGATGCTGTACCGTATGTAAAGGTTTCCAAACCTTCCGAAGTTTTTCCATCGTGTGATTTTGTTGGGGCATGTTGTGCATTGTCGGAAGACTTTTCTTTCTCCCTTTTGTATGTTAACACACACTGCTACAGAGACTGCTGCTAAACTCGCCGTCTTACTACATTTGTTGTACCCATCACAATTCGTGTTTTCCCCCAAACCCGAATGTGAGACTTTCGGAAAAAGATGGTCTTATTATTTATTCCCAATCCAATTGATTGGGTTGAAGGGGCAGAACACTTTAGGGACCAGTTCAATTGACCTTCAGCCGCACTTCGGTTGCCCACGATCTCCAGCCACCCTGAATGGCAAGTTAACGTAAGTCCTCCGACTGTATGAAGTTTAGAAAGCGATAGGAAATCTGAAGCGAGGGCGGGTAGCGGGTTCTGATAGACTGAACCCCAAGATATTTAAAGATGGTGGTCCAGTTTTAGCATCTAGGTTGACTGAGATCTCAGGTAGAATCTGGGAACTGACCTGAAAGCGGCATTTGACTCAGTGGATCGTGAGGTTCTGTGGCAGTGTCTTTCACTGAAAGGTGTACCAAAGAAGTACATCAACCTCATACAAGCTTTCTACTCGAACACCACTGGTCGAGTGAGAGCTTATGGCGAACTGTCACCGGAATTCTCTACTTCAAGTGGTGTCCGTCAGCGATGTCCACTCTCTCCATTCTTGTTCAATTTTTTCATAGACATGCTCCTAGAAATAACCTTATCCTCGTCTGAATTTTCAGGAGTAGACCTTTTACCTGGTGCCTCGCTTATTAACTTAGAGTATGCCGATGACATTGTCCTACTTGGTGAAGACGCTGACGAAATGCAGAGTCTTCTGACTACCCTAAGCAACAATGCAAGCATGTTCGGGATGCAGTCTTCCCCCTCGAAATGTAAAATGTTGCTTCAAGATTGGGTTTCATCGGCACCTGAACTAGTGATAGGGAGTGAAGTAGTCGAACGTGTAGACCGCTTCACTTATCTCGGTAGTCTCATCAGTGCTGATGAGCTGGTGACTGACGAAATCTCAGCTCGGATACAGAAGGCCCGATTGGCTTTTGCCAACCTGCGTCACTTATGGCGTAGGCGAGATATCCGTTTGCTGACTAAAGGACGATTGTACTGCTCAGCAGTTCGCTCCGTCTTACTTTATGGCCGTGAAACATGGCCAGTGAGAGTAGAAGATATTCGTCGGTTACTGGTTTTCGATCATAGGTGTCTTCGAAGCATTGCTCGTATATCGTGGGACACCCGAGTGAGCAACGCTGTTATTAGTAGACGGGTGCTAGGTAAGAATGGCAGATCAATAGATGAAGTGGTGAAACTTAATCAGTTGAGTTGGTTGGGACATGTGCTGCGTATGCCTAACCACCGACTGCCTCGACGAGCTTTGTTTTGTAGTGTAGGTTGGAAGAAAGCAGCAGGCGGCCAAACCAAAACATGGCAGAAATCCATGAAGTCAATGACAAGTGGACTGAACCGTGTTGGTAGCTGCCGACCACCTGGTTGGGGGTCCGTCAGATGATGGTAATCGATGGTTAGAGACCCTCAATGACATGGCTCGAAACCGTTTGCAGTGGCGCAAGTGCACTCATTCTTTGTGTCTTCTCAAATCCTAACCTTCCAAATTCCTCATCATCTTCATGTTCTTCTTTCTAAGTATACTTCACTAGATTCTACTTGAATAATATCATGGAACCCTAAAATTTCTGATTACTGCTAATACCTCTACTGACTCTATCACTATGGGATTTGAAGTGAAAATTGCATCTCTGTACTGATGTGGTATGGCAACCTGAACTGATGTACGTACGTACGTACGTACGAAGTTGTTGTTGTTGACTGACCGCTTCTCTTGAGATGTCGACGTTTGTCGAGACAAGGATCTAAGAATACCGGTAGTTGCATGTCTGTATTATTTATCGGAAAATATCATGATATTTGCAATACTATCACTGGTCCAGGCCAATCAGGGTCCATGTTAATTATAGATAAATGCAACGTATACACACAAGGTGGTATTTGTCCGAGAACTGTTATATAGAAAAGCTTTGCAGATAGACAGATACAACGCAGAACTTCGTACATAAGTACATCCGTTCATGTTGCCATACCACATTAGCACACAGAGATGCAATCGTCACTTCAAATCACATAGTGGTAGAGATAGTAGAATTATTAGCAGTAATGGAGAAGATTAGGGAGTAAAGATATGATTCAAAAAGTATAATTCAGTGGGATAAATTTAGAAGGAGAAAGATGGAGATTATGAGGAATTCAGAAGTTTAGAATTAGAGATAACACAAAGAATGGATGCACCTGCGCCATTGCAAACGATTCTGAGTCATGTCGTTCAAGGTCTCTAACCATTGTTGACTCGTCTCACGGACCCCAACCAGATACGAAAGTCACCAATGGTTAGAGACCTTGAGCGACATGGATCAGAATCGTTTGCATTGGCGCAGGTGCATCCAGTCTTAGTGTGCTGCTACCTTCATATGGTGGCCGGGCTTGCCTATCGTCATGACCCAACCGAGTTATATTGGCTGGACCATATGTTCCTGAAGGTTCTACTACCATACCAGGCAGGTCGATTGGAGAGCGATGAGACTAAAAGCAGCTACCCAAGGTCTGAGGGCGAAGTCGTACTGCTGACTGCTATAGAGGGGTATGACAGCAGTAAGGTGTTTCCCTCGGACAACCAACATCTGCAGCGATGCTGCCTTCTCACGAGGAAGGAAGGGTTAGAAAAGGTCGACCCTCAAAATGTCACACCTCACGGATTTCCGTCTGTCGGTACGGGTGCCCACTAAGGGCTTTCAAGAGCGGAGCTAATACTCAAAAACCCTTCATAAAAAGGCTGTGCGTGACCGGCTTCAAGCAGTTGTCCTTTGGGCACTGCGGTCACACTGCCGGGTCTCTATGACGGACACTGATCTACCTTCTTTTCCAGGTCCCTCAGGAAACAACCTTCCACGGTGTGGGCAGCCGGGGAGTGACAACCGCCCTCATACCCGTAACAGCACACGAGACCGAATTGGTCAAAATCAAATCCTTCTTACACCCCCTAATATCTCTCTTATCTCTACGACTAACTCTACTCGCATTCCTTCTGAAAAGCTTTGCACTTTCTTCACATTCGAATATCTCACTTATCAGACGTTTGTGCCAATGTTATCCAGGAAAACCGTGAAAGATCCACGACCAAAACAAAAGTCATCTTTCAAAGTTGCAAATTTTAGCCATCTAAGAAATGAGCTCAATATATGGCAACAAGTTATCATAGTTAAATGATGACATCACGATAAGTACGTTTGGTGGACAAGTACTTTAGAGGCATATTTTCTGAATATCTTGTTTTTTTGGAGAATAAATGGTTTATTACAAAAGAATCCTTATGAAGTATGGAAATTAATTAAAATCTCAATATGGTACATAGGATCGTAGTGATCATTACCAAATAGCTTTTTCTAAAGAAATTCATAAAACCAGTTAGGGATGAATTTGGGTTCGGATCAAAAGTCATTGCAGAAAAAGCACTAGAGCTGTCGTAACTGACAATCCAGGTATGAAAAATGCTTTTCCCATCCTTCTGTAAACCTTAGCGAAATTCCTGATATCCTATTTCCTACTTTCGAACTTTATTCAACCAGTCTGTGGCATTGTTTATTTTCTGGTTTTGGGCAAAGTTCCTCTTTAAATGTATTTATAGATTATTCATATATTTAACCTATAAATAAACGGCTTGAACAATTTCGATTCTCCCATTTTAAGGCCTCCTAATATCATACCATCTCCATAAATAAACTCAGTTCATTCTAAACGTTTCCAATGCAAAGTATGTACACAATTGTTTAGTTCTAATGATTAAAAGCGTGCTTTTAGGCTGTAAACAACCCAGGAAGATCCATGTTACTCTACTAGAATACTCATTCTATTTTTATACAAGTTTGTAAATGTGAAAAGCTGTAAAGTGCATTGCAAAAAAGTTACTCTACTTTGCATTTTTATCGATCTTAGTCTTACTCAGGAAACCTATATCAAACTATACTATTATTAAGAAACCTTTCTACTTCTTTAGTCACAAGGTCGAGTGCTAATCTGATTATCTTAGCTTGGGCAGGTGATTAACACCGCTAGTCGTCATCATCAACAGCAGCATAGAACTTTGCACGTGAGTACAGCAGTTCAAGTTGCCATACCATGTTAACAAGAGAAATAGTTGTCAATTATATACTCTTCCACGGTGTGGGCAGCCGGGAAGTAACATTCGCCTTCTTACCTATAAAAACACAAGAGACTGAATCGGTCACAATTAAATCCTTACACCGCTAGCCATCACATAGAATATGCCTAAAAATCGAGCACAAACTTGTGCTCAACAAATGAGCGACATAATCACCTTGCCCCATTTCTGTCTAACTCTAGCTTTGATAGCTAGCTAACTTGTGAGTGACTTCGTACTTCAATACCTACAGAGATACTATATAAGACAGAAGCAAAATCTTCACTGGTTCATTTAGATTTAGGTATCTGGAATGAAGACCTATACTAGGAATTAGCGACTAGACTAACGACGTAGGTACATCGTCAGTAAACCTGTTTTAAGAAATCCACGACTATCTGCAAACTGAAATATTTGCCAAGCTCTTCAAGGATGCCGAGGCTACTTTGAAGAATTGAGATCGAACAGGACTAAGATACAACAAGTTTTGCTACAAAGTAACGTGTTGTAAGCAACAATTATATGGTTTCAGACCACTTAACAAATCATGAATAGCAAACATCGAGGAGTCAAACTTAGTCGGACTTTTCCGTCCGATGAAGGATTTATGTACCGGACATACAGATGACAGGTTCTGAAAATACTTGCACTGAAAGTTGTTTTGAAGTCAGGGAAAACGGAATCCTAGTTGAAATAATGCAGCGAATAGAATAATGCTTAGGTATAACTGTAAGCTGACTCAAGGTTATGTGCTGAAAGATAACCAACGAAGGACTTTGCACCCAGGTTAGTTTTCAGTGACCTTATGAGATATTATCAAAGCTTCACACCCAGCTCATGTTCAAGTCTATCAGCTGTTCTTATTTGATGTAGATAAGGTTTCACATGTCTCATGTAACGCTGGGGGAACAAACTGAATGAAAAGTCTTAAGAGACACTTCAAGGATCGATGATTAACTTCATTCGTTGAGCTGACTTGATTACCAGTGACATAAACTTTACTCTCGGAGTGGCATGATCGTTATTTCATTTAGCAAGCCGATATAGGACATGATCAGCGTTTCCAATGTAGTCAAGCGGATGTAGTGAAAATAAAACCATACATATGTTGTATTCGAAAGTTTCAAAGATCAAACTGACAGACGATATGTTTGACTTTTATTTATTAGCCTTGACTTCAAGTGATATATATAGCCGGTAAAATTGCACAACCCCATGGTTTTGTGATCGGGTTGTATGAGACGTTTACTTATCAACCGAAGATAAGTATTCCTCAGACAAACGGTAGTTCAGGTCTTATCGAACAGTGAAGGCTACATTACACTGGTCGAAAATCATTCATCTTATTAATTATTGTGAACAAATTAAGATGATCATCAGTACCCTCAAAGTTTAATATACGTTTTCGTATAATGTCAAGTGAAGTATAGTATCATTAGGGAATTGAAGAGTTTTAAAAACATTAGGTATTCAAATCAAACCACATTGTATTCGACAAGCGAGAAATTACAAACGACGACCTCTTCGGCCTCCTTTGCGCCGCGTGCTATCTGTCGGAATAGGTGTAACATCTTCTATGCGGCCAATGCGCATCCCTGAACGTGCAAGTGCTCGTAAGGCAGACTGTGCAGCAGGACTTGGAGTACGGACCCTGGGTACATAAAACAACAACGAAACGAAGCTTACTTTGTTCCACCAGTGGCCCGAATACGGATGTGTAGGGCGTTTATGCCTAATGTTTTGCATTTTTCAGCAACATCTTGCGCTGCAAGCATAGCAGCATATGGACTAGATTCGTCGCGATCGGCTTTAACTTTCATGCCGCCAGTGACGCGAACGATGGTCTCAGCACCCGTCGCATCCGTTACGTGGACAAACGTATCGTTGAATGATGCATAAATATGGCAAACTCCAAATACAAATTCGCCTTCTGCAACTTGAGGACCCAAAGATACCTGTTCTTCAACTACTTTTTTAGCTAATTTGCGCTTTGCCGCCATCACGCTTGCAAACAAATAGCGCTCGAGTATCGTAGGCCGCCAGAAGGTTCAACAAGATATTCACTGTCCAAATGTTCTGATAGAATTTCATCTGTAAATACGAAAACTTGAAAGCTCTCTGCTTTGCAACATTTCATTAGCCTTTATGCTTCCAAAATCTTGTTTCAACAACTGAAATTTTTATTAGGCTACAAAGTGTCCTAGTGGAGTCCCTCAGGGTTCAGTACTTGGATCACTTCTCTTCTTCACTAATATAAATGATCTTCATCAATAAGTACGGTCTGAATTAAAACTTATCTCCGGTAATGTTGAGCTTTGAAGAGAAGCTTGCGGACAAAACACCGAGCTGGTTTTTCAGGAGGAAGTGACTCGACTTCAAAGTCTGGTGAATGACAATGGACTTACCTTGTACATTTCGAAGTGCAAGGTATTTCACCTGAAACCTATTGAGGACTATGTGTAAAACTTTGATTACGATCCCTTGGAGGTTAACCAAGCTGAAAAAGATCTAAGCGTCTTGAGACCATATGATCTATTGCTACTAGGTTCGAATGCTCGGTGCGAGAGCTTTTTCCATTCATAACCGTTGGAATCCCAAGTGGTTTCCAAGCTTCTAATGGGTTTAATCAGTGGGCGACGTTAAATCATTAACAGTGTATCTATTTATTTCTAGGCTAAAAATATGTGCTCTGGTACAAATAGTATCGTAAACACATTAAAAAATTAATCCTAGCATCAATACTGCCCTCTTGAAAAACCTGCTTAACTGAGTATTTTGGTTAAATATTGAGGGTTCAAATTTCAATTTGAACCCAACTGGCACGTTTTTTATTCACAGCGGCGAATTGCCCATGTTTCTGAGATCACTTTAATGTAACCTGGTGAATTTCTTGTGAGGTTAGGTGTTCCTGATTAGTTTCACATTTACAGGTAGCTTGAAGTGACTTAGGGTTAACAATGAATGTTGAAAGGTGGACGAACGGTAGTGATGAAGACTTAATGACCAAACAGGTGTGGGCACTATAAATCTCTGCCCTTTATGCCAAATGTCTTATTGTTTCACCACCCCTGATACGCTCCTCAAATATTCTTACCCACATTACCACTGGCTGTGAGATAAAATGAAGTATAAAAAAATCGACCAATCCTCTTTCCAAGCTGATTCTCAAAATTGTGACATACTGTGAATAATAAAGATACTGTACGATTAAATATTTTGCTTTGTGTTTAAATCTTTTGTGATGAAACAATGCTTAGTACTTCGAATTTGAGTTTTTAGTGGCAGTTGAGTCGCGATTAACCACAAAATACCGATTGCGAGCCCGTCACTGAGAAGAAGGGTATTCCATACTAAAGAATATATTCGCTGGTGATTTCGTGGTATCGAAAGAATACCGAAATTGGGGCGAAATTACAGAGATAGTGATGCCAAAGTGGCAGCAACACAAACAGAAAGTTTTCTCGTACTGAGTGTAATAGATGAAAAGTACAGTGAAACGTTCACTGGTAAAATTGGTTATAACAAGGAGTGTTTCTACTAAACCAATAGCGTTCTCTTCATAGAAGAGGGATTACTACAAGTTCTTGCTTTTGTCTTATCAAAGTTCTAAGTATAATAGGATTATTAGCATTTCCTTAGACTTCTTTGAATCTACATGACCTCTGTGGAATTCTTATTTCTTTCCGTGCTGTACGATTATCCGCGTCCAGCTAACTGTAATAAATTATTGCTGGGTACATACTAAATAAACAGGTCACAGGTAAGTAGACCAGCAAAACATCCCTATCGAGCCGTATCTGCGCAGTTATCTGTGTGTACACGGCAAACTGTCACTTCAGACATTTTTCAGGTGAAAGCTGACTTTATTGCAATCAAGGTTTTGTCTCCTCTTAATGTGGCTGAAGAGTGTTGGCAGCTGCCAACTGACGTGGTCATAATTCATGAGTAGATCTTACAGTAATGTCGGATACAGGTCAACTGTTTGTGAAGACGAGTTCTCAAACTTTACGTCAGTATCTGAGTGATCGATTCCTCGCCCATTATAACTGATATTAGGCACAAGAAATAAAGCTTCCAACCGTACTACATCTAGTTCATTATCGGAAAAGCTATGTTTGTACTGTTTCGGGTCAAAGGGAAATTACTTTTCTGGTTTTACGTTTCTTAAGGTTTTACCAGGTTCGTTCTTGTCTACTCAGATCTATTCTATTGGAAACAGTTTCAGTATAATTCCTGGACAGTGACTTAATGTCCGAACATAGGTTTCCGAAGGAATATAGTCTCTGAAGATGAATGTTGTCTAAGTTACCAATATTCACTTCTAAATTGTCACTAACGTTTGACACATGCCTTTCAAGTGTTTTGGCATTAAGATAGACTTTGTTACGACGCAAAGACTCGCGATATATTTTTGGATATCTTCTAGTCTGGTTTGTATGAGCTGGTAAGACTGAACATTGCTTACCGCCTACGCACATATTCATCCTATTTGCCTAAATGTCAACCTCTTAAATATTACGATGGCTGAGCCCTTTTCAGATGTATTTATGTGAACATTTTAGTCTCATTAATGTATTCGTCAGTTCGCCCATTCGCTCACTCGTTAGCTTGCTTGCCTTTGACTCTGTGTGCCCGTGGTTTATAGCCTATTTACGAAATCTAAGAACATGTTGGATACTAACCGTCACGAAACTAGTGAGACACTTGCAGCAATACGAGAAACGGATATCGACAAGCTTAATTATTCCTGGATACTTTAAGTAGTTTTTAAAGTTGGACAAATTACCATTGAAGAATGAGCAGACGGAGTTGGTCTGACAATTGTGACAAATTTTCGCACTACATGATGACCTATAGACCTTGCACAGCATTTTAGATAAAGATTCATGAAGGCCAGATGTACCTACGTTTATTTAAACAAAAAGGGATTACTATAAAAACAGAAAAGAGAGAAAATTAATGCAGAATAAAAATAATAGGAAATCGTCTCAATTACCTATTTCATGAAAAAGCCTTAAAATGATCATGTTGCATTCAAGGTTTCGACAAACTTTTTCTGTACGTAATAGTGAGTTTGAATTCGCTAATAACGAAGGCTTCTGTTTGACTTCTTCATTCACAATTTTCAAACAACGTTTCAAAAGCAGTATTGATGTCGACTGGGGAATGAAGAAATGACTAGAGAAATATAATAAGTTGGAGTAAATTAATGAAGCGTATAAAGGTCAAGAGGAATTTAATGGATTAAAATTGGAGTGGAGACAAATGCACCTACGTATTGCAATCGATTTTGTGCCACATCATACAAAGTTCCTAACCACCGGTTACGATGGTCTTGTGGACTCCGACCAGGTAGTCTACACCACTTGTCAGTGATTACACGTTGTACTCTCATGATAAGGTTTGACCTCCCCTAGCTTTTTCACAACCTACCTCGACATCAGGCAACACAGCCCGAAGAGGCAGTCCGTGGTTTGGAAAACATAACACGTCTCAACTACTCCAACTGATGAAGACTTATTACTTCATCACTTCATCTGCCATCCTGACCTAGTACCGTTTACCTAGCAAGCACTGATTTTCACTTTCAGGGATCGGAAGAGTATGTGTTTTGTCAGCGTCTTCCATAAAAAGAACTATATCTCCTGCATGTTCTAGGTTAACAAGTGAATCTTCTGGTAAACTTTTAACTCCAGCAAAGTCAAACGCTCGAGGAGTGGTCTCTGAAAGCATGTCACCGAAAAAGTTTATTAAGAATGGAGGAGGTGGAAAAGGTTGGTGAACACTACATATGGAAATCGATAATGATGACAGTTCGCCATAAGCTATGACTCGGCACAAAGTTGATGTACTTCCATGGCAATCCGTTCAATGTCAGACAGTGCCACAGAACCCCACGATCAACAGAATTGAGCGTTGCTTTAAGGTCAAGAAATACTACCATTGCGGGACGTTCGAACGTGAGTCTGTTTTATAGGACATACCGACTTTTGAATATGTGTACACCACGTTCTGATCTGAACCCACCTTAATTTATTTCTAGTCTGCTGTTCACGAGCTGAAGTTAAGAGTGTAAGTTTTGTCGAAATTTAAATATTCGAAATTATGTAATTTAAACTGATTCCACCATGGTCGTTACAAGAGGACTTTCTATCTTATGTATAGACCGGAAGTATCAGTGATCGATACCAGTCAAATGGGATTATATCCAGTTCTCATTCAATCAAGCTGCTGAAACAGGACCACCACCATTGAAAATCTCAGTGGTTAATCTATCAGGTCCAAATGCGTCCAACCTGTCAGCCCAATATCCTGGATTGAAAATGAATAGTGGCACCATCCTTTTCGAAGATAAATTCACTCATAGTCGAATGCGAATCACCAGTTTTGATTTTAAGTCTGGATAGTTATCGACTGTCCATCTTCTCTCCACGACAGTTCACGAACATTGCGTAAGCTACTTGTCATGATGTGTTTAGACTGCCTCTGATCTTCATCATGTTCATATCCAGATGAGATATTTTTACGAGCAGCTATCAGTTCAGTAGATGCAACGGAAATCCACTGACTATCCATAAGCTTTTGGTTTATCTTACTAGCAAATTATCATTGCTATTTCTATAAATTTCTGGCAGTCATTCCGAGCTGGACATCACTTAGGTGGCTGCCTAAGTGTTTTTCTCCTTACTCTGAAAATAAAGTCTTAAATTTTTCATCATTATGCTGAACTCTTAGACGTCTCTCCTCTGTGTCTTCAGTATTTCCATATTGTTTCAATCGAAGGTATGTCCATAATTGTTCGTATGTATTGATATAAGCTAAGAAATGTCTTGCCGTTTGACTGATAATCCATGCTCACGCAAACTAAGCTGAAGAGGACGTGCACTTTGTCCTATGTAGTAATTTTCACAATCTTGGTAATCTACTTTGTACATGATATATGTGGTTATTCTTCGTCATTTTTTCCTTTGATTAACATAGGATTAATTGAAGTGATTCTGTTGCTTTCTGTGCTAGACCTATTCCAAATGAGACAGAATACGAACACTGGAATTACTGGTCCACCGGATTTCACTCTCCATCGACTTTGTTTTCATACTTGTCCCGCTTTGACAAGCCTATTTGGAGTTCTTGAGATTCGGTTGTCCAACTTTTTATTGGGTTTATGTATATATCTATATGCTTCTATCCTCAAATAGTTGCTCGGCTTTCTCGATATAATCTTCCGTGTTCATAATTACTGTGCTACATTTTTACCGCCGGAACTGTAAATAAATATTTTATGGTTCCAAGTTTCAAACGCCACGATATTTGTATGACCATATCAGAACATACGGACAATTATGGACATACCTCCGATTGAAACAATATGGAAATACTGGATAGGAGGAGCACAAAGAACACTAAAGAATTTTTAGAGGCTTCGTACTCAAGTCAATCATCAATCAATAGACACATCAACACCAACCCAATTCGTTAACCAACCAGAAAAATTATAGGCTATATGGCATCAAGAAACAAATCAGAAGGGGGATAAAATCAAAACAAAGGTGCAAACGACGACAGGTTTGAGGTCAACAGGAACCTATCAAGATCGAGGTTATCAGAACAAGCAGTGGAGAAATTCGAATACTTCATTTCTGTTTGAAGTTTGTGCTGGTAATGATATTGTTCAGAAGAGGAAGATTGAAATCTACACAACCAAAAATTCCAGCTCAGAGAACGAAACACAACCAAAATCATCCACTTGGGCTACAAACTTTCTGACTCATCTCAGACACGATAGTTGTTGAGAGGCTTAGGAAGTATGTGTGTTTAAGCAAGTTGATTTCGTACGCTGTTGGAGATGTATGGGCGGGTGTTACTTCCCAATCGCACCGATTTTGGAAAGGTATTTCATGCGAAATCTAGATAGGAAGTTGCATTAGCATTGGTCTTAGCGACTTTCGGATGCTACTACAGAGCCCGAGGGACAATTACTTGAAGTAGTTCACTCACGGACTTTTAATATAAGATTGTAACGTGCTAGCATTTTCTCATCCATTCTTTCCTTGTGAGAAGGCAGCGAAATGTGATTGTTCGGAAAAAACACACTTCACACCTCTCTGAAATCCGCAGTATGACTTCACACTAAGATACCAACTTTATGGTTTAAGTCGTACCCTTCTTAAATAGACTTGTATGGACTGGTAGAACCCAAAGGAACAGTTGTTTCAGCTTATGTAGTCCGGTCGATAGACAAGCACGACCACCACGTCAAAAAAGTAGTTATTGTCGAGGAATTTATTGCCAACTATGACCATTTTATTGAAGGATCATTCATTTGCAAATCTCTCATCATTTTTGTTCCTTTCGCCTGTGACGTAATATGCAAGCATTTACCAATATTTATGTCTTTTAAATTGTTATATGTTGCTTCAATTGTTTCGCTACTTCTGCGAAGTCAGTAGGCTAGTCTAACAAGGAGAAGATTTTCAAAATCTTGAAGTAATAGACTTCAAAAATTTGTCCATCACATTTTCGGTTAATCTGAGTAGTTGCTAGTTAGTAATGTCGAGGATCAGTGTATATTCCAAATATAAGGATCTAAAATGTTTTCAGAACTAACAGTAGCTTGTAACTGTCAACGATTAACCTATAGTGGTGATCGAGTCGACATTGACTATGATCACCACTAAATACTAATTAAGGATCTGTCACTTAGAAGACAGATAATTCCAGGGTTAGGAATATATTTGCTGGTGATTTCATAGTGTCAAAAGAAAACCGAAATTACACCAAGAAAATGAGCGAAATCAAGAGCACATGCATCGAGAATGGCTGTAACACAAACAGAAAGTTGCGCCCAAGTAACATTCCACTAGAAACTAATGTAGCATTCTGATAGGATTCATTCTATAGTCGTTGGCTTTATATAAGATGTGAATCTGTAGATGATGAAATGAAACAATATCCATCAAGCTGCGATAAATTTTGAGCACGGACATGTTTGAAGAACTTATTTGAAATATAGAATATAATGTACACTATTTACAAGTCTAGAGAACCCTGGACTTGTGTTACTCTAGTGAGCTAAATGTACACGTAATCTTTGAAGATTATATTTCTTGTGTTATTTGAAGTCTCTTGACATACTTTTCAATTGTGATACTTTACCACTAGACTTTTCAGGCTTTACAGGCAAATGGCAACTAAAACAAGACCTATTCGAGAAGTTGTGTCTGCTAACTACCTACGAAACCTTTAAATCCATTGCAAATTTTGGATCCATCATAATTAATAAAGTTAATGTTGAATGATTATGAAACTGCCTAATTTTGACAGTTCATTTCCCTACACTTGAAACAGTTGACCTCCTATTTAGCTTTGAATTTTACATCATAAAGCTGAACTTTGTTTATCTGAAGCACTTCACACACACGAGTAATGAAAGACTATTGTTTTTATTTCATTGAAGTGTTTAACATAAAAAATAATTTGAGTCCATCTTCCAGTTGTGTATTAACACCACAAATTTACACATTACACACAGAACTAACAGCATGAAATATTATCCTTTTATCGGGTTATTTTCAGTTGACAGTAACTATTTTTTCTATAGAATCAAAGTTATGAAACTTTGTTAATGTCCTTATATGTCAGTAAATGAGAGATCAACTTAAGAAACAATTACTATTTTTATATGAAGCATAATTATTGTAAAGATTACACATAACAGATATGACCTTAAATAAATCACGCTATAACAAATACGTGTACCTATTGAATGGAAATAAACTTTGTCACAGATTACGTTTCTTACCATTGAATATAAAACATTCGATTATTATGGGGCAGAGTTTTGGAAGTTTGTGTTTTTACACATTTGAAATCATCAGTCAATGATTGTTAGACGATCATTAGAAACCTGGTAGCACTCGATGCCGGCCCAGTGGTCCGATGGTCAGGCGTTTGCTCAGACAGAGACAGACAGATACAACGCAGAACTTCGTACGTAAGTACATCATTTCAGGTTGCCATGCTGCATCAGCACAGTGACGCAACTGTCATTTCCAATCAAATTATTATTATCCAATTATTAGCAGCAATGGAGAAGATTAGGGAGCAAATATATGATTCGAAAAGTATAATTCAGTAAGATAAAATTAGAAGGAGAAAGGTGAAGATTATGAGGAATGCAGAAGCTTGAACTGATCCCTAAAGTGTTGTGCCCATCGATCGTTCGCGCACAATACCAAATGTCCAAGGCTGGAATCCTGCGAGGAGCAGGAGTCGTGGATACGCACTGATGATTAGTCACATACACCAGGACGAAACGGCCATCGAGTGCTTCCAGGTTTCTAATGGTCGTCTTACAATGATTGATTGATGATTTCGAATTCCATTATTAGTATTGTTGGAATGATAAGTACGATTTTTATTAGATTTCCTTTTCGTTTAGTTCATATTGACGGGTGGAGATGTATGAAATGGACTGACATCGCCAATAGTTTAAATGATTTACTTCAATAAAACACACTACGGCTATTGAAAATAGAACATTTGCAAACTGTTTGAAACATTCTTCTTGGTGAAATATAACAAACATCAGTGTTCAAATCACTCGATTGTTGTATCATATTGACAGTACCATTAAGGATAAGGAATTAATTACAACTGTAGCTCAATTTTCAATGAATTTTCCTTTGTGAACCGACACAACAATGTATTATTGGATTCAATGATTATTTTGTGTTTGATTTTTGACACTAGAAACATCATTCAAACTCCTATAGGAATGCAAATTGTTTACTTGTAGTGGAACGCTTCTACGAAGAAAATACGATTTGCGAAAAATAAACATTATTGTACCCGTTTTGTTTAACTGTGACAAAAAACACTTCTTCCAATTCTTGCGCGCAACGTCTTTTTCGCGTTGCTGCCATTTTTCTAAATGCGCTGCTCCCTATGTAATGCCTATTCTCTCCTTCAGTAAAACCTTGGAACATGGATTTGTTTTGATATGAATGACGGGATTGTATGGAACATTTAGTGGTGATCATAGTCAATCTGGTATCTTGACTCGCTCACTACATATTCTCGTTCCAGTTCGTTCATATTTCCACTTATTGTTGGAAAACTTTATATTGAGTGAAGCGTTGTCTACTTTTGTCAATGTACAGAGATAAAAAAATCGAATTGGATCGAATTCAGGTGTGATTAATTTAGAATGTGTGGTGCATGTAATCTATCATATGACGTTATTTTATGGAAAGTTCACCTTAATCTTCTTATTGAGTGTTAGACAGAACAAACAAAATATCGTGGAATATCTGGCAGATACGCTTAAAACGAACCCCTGTTGCTTTAACTGACCAGTATTCAAATTATTGAGAAATTGTTGTTTCTATCAATATACTTTAATTGAAGTTGTCGGTTCGATATTACGCTGCTGTTGTCACACTTGCACTTCCTCGTATGTATCAGTTTACATCGCTTAGTATCATAACATCACTACCTATAATTCAATATGAAATTGTTTCCAATTATCCTGTTGTTGATCATTTTGGCTGAAATCTAATCAATCTTGGTTAGTATACGTGTGACCTATACTGATTACCTTGAAATAGCTATAATGACAAATACTGGTTTAAACATTTCAGCAATGTCCAAGATAAACTTGCTAAGTTATAAAGTTAAAAAGAAACAACATACCAACCTTTTATGTTAGTATATAGAAATGAACTTATACTGTAAAACGTAGGTTGTGTAGGCAGATAAAAGTCCATCTCATTTCAGATATAAATATGTTAGGATTGATGATAGGTGTTAAACAAAATGTTACGTGTTATAGTGTTCCATATTACCTTACTCACTTGTACACTTCAAGCTGCAAAACAACCAAGTACGTTCATTATGCATTTCTAATGTATTTTCACACTTATTATTTTGAAATATTCAATGTTGTTCTATTTTGATTGTCAATGGTCATTGATTTTCTTCATATTTGTTTGAATTACTCACGCGTGTTATCTGTTCGTACAACAAAAGATGTCAACTAGCACTACTATTCAGTCACTTTTGTTCTAAGTTCTTGTTTTCGGTTATTTTCAAGTACAATTCAATGTCTTGATATCTGTCCCTGATTCGTATACGCAATGTGTTGAATGGTATTTGGTCACTTCCTTTTGTCTTGATGAATATCTAAGTGACGGCTTGCCTATTTACACACTTTGTTTATTTCTGTGATGCGTGTGCTATTGACTTCGTTAAATAGAAGCCAGTTAGTTGTTTGCTACAGTAATTTATTTGTAACAGAGTTTGACTAACGGATGTGGAGTAACTTAAGTATGGAAAACTGTAAATAAATACTTATATTTTCTGAATTATAGTTGTAGTACTTCTAGAAGTTTATGTTTCGTAAAAATAGATCGTGTTTCAGTTTGATCTTGTTGTTGACTAAGAGTAGTTTTGAGTTGCAGCCATTTTTCCAATTGTAGGAATGTTACACTTGTTTTGAAAATTTCTGAATTCATATCTGCATCAAATTGCTTTCTTACATGAACTATCTATCAGTAAAACAATCGTAATTTCCTGCCTTCATTGATTCGACCATTGTTTTAATGAATCAATAGTAATCGAGAAACTGTAAATGATCATCATTTCATTTTTATCATGTGTGAATTTGATCTTTTAATGAGTGATTTCTGATTGCCTACTTTATTACTCTTTGATATGATAGCACTTCGAAATAAACTAATCAAAATCGAGAAAATTATTCCTGACTATAAAAGTAAGCATTTAATATTGTTAGGTATAACTGAAAAACATTGAACTTGTGTCATGCACTGTGATCATCATACTACACTGATTTATATTCTATAACCTGTGTAATTTAATGCTATTGTCACGTGATTTTGAATATGATAATTCTGTGAGTTTACCATTTTATTCCATACTTTCAATGTATATACATACAGTAAAGGCAAGTACATACGCCAATGAAGTGAAAACTATGACACAACAACTAGTACAAATGACAGGTAAGATGACTGCAATTTGTTGATTGAACTATTGTTATTTAAATAATAAGAGACAAAACATAATATGTTTAGCTCGTAATCTCCTTGACACAGCACGTTGTCAACCATCTTGTTAACTGATTATAATATTCTAGTGATTGCCTAATGGTCTTCACTGTAACAACACTGCTTAAAACAATTTGAAGCTACACATTAAAATATCAGTTGAATTAGTCAAATACAACAATGTTTGATTGTTTCACCTAAGCTTGTTCATATTTCTAGTATAGTTTCCTTCCTATCTATTATCAATCAACGTTAATGACAAGATGAACAATATCCAAATGGAGAGATTCTTCATTTATGGTTGTTTTTCGGGATTGATTTTCCGTTGATCAGAGAGAGAACTGGAAAAGCAGTAAAGACAAGAAAGTGAAATATTAGCATATTAGAAGTATTTCAAGTTGATCTTCTAAAATGAACTGTCACTGAAATATTTCGAATAAGAAGTGTCAACTCTCATGTTACTTACTCATCTTTGTGACAGTAAATATCAAGCCATATGTAGTTGACAGTCTCTTTGTATATTTCATTACACATTAATTTCGTTCTACATCATTATGGCATAATCTCATTATGTTGAAAATTTGTATTTTCAGATACAATCAATCGGAAACTGGCATTTGAAAATAAAACAATTAACGAATGTATGTACAATAAAATCAACTTCATAATCAATATTCACCAATTTTAGATGTTGCCTGTGAAAAAGATGAATTTGCATCTATTATTAAAAGATATGCTTATGAAGGTTAGACGGATCTCCGTTTATTCCATTCTTGTTCATTGTATTTTGATGAATGATTTCACTGTGTTAGAATCCGATGAACGTGTATTTCAGTTCAATAGATTGACCAGACAATTTATCATGTACTCCATAACATTTCAAGTAGTATGCAGTGATGAGAAGTGAATCGTTCTTGTTTAGTGAGTAGATCAGTTATTGGTGAACTTGCGTGAAAAACCGCTAGATACAGATTCATACAGTTTGCTCAAATTACATTTTACTAAATCGTTTTCTTCAATGTAATAATTCAATTTCTATGTATATGTTAGTTGTATATGAATGTCGTACTGATTAACGCCTGTTGCTATTTTCAAAACTGTTTTTTCTAATCATTCTAGATATTGTCAACTTCTTAAAAGCTGAGAAGATGTCATACCGTATGTGTAATTAGTTTTATCTAATGTTTTATTGACAATAACTCTCTGAATGTTGATGATGATCGATATGCTGAGTATCACTTCATGCATCGTTTTCTGTTCTACTTTATCCAGAGTCATTTGTCAGTAATTACTCAAGTATCATAGAATGCTTTGAAAATCAAGCACGAATCACCAGAGGTCAGTGTGGGAATTTGAATGCTTAAATTGAGTATACAAAATAATATTTCCATTTTACTAACAGTAAACATAAAATGATGAGATGGGCTTGTAATTGAGAAGTAGATATTTTATATGTCGTGTTCTGTAATGTGAGTAGCTTGACCACGAAACATTCATTGCAGTTCCAAACAGCACTGTAGAAAAGCTTATCAAGCACAAATGAACTCTTATGGCAGATTATATTACAAGCGAAATCTATACTGCGAATACATCAACAATGTCAGCACAATGATGGACATCAATGCATAAAAGTTCATGTAGACAGAATGAGCTACTCTTCGTTGTGAAGAAATTCGTACAACACATCTCATTTGCAAGTATCAGTTGACAATGTTATCCAGAAAAATATACAAATATCATCTGTGACTGAAGATAAGCGACAAACACTGACTGGTGAAAAGCATCTGTAAATAGAATTGTACGTATTCATCATTAGCAAGTTTACATTCTCTAGAGACTTAATTGAATAATTCGTTGTAAATTGATAACATTTTCTTTGATTTCATTTCTGTACAACACAAAGATATGGATTGTGGAAGTTTTAAACGGTCAATCAACCTTCAAGGTACTGAAAAACATACGAAGACACAAATGGTTTTTGATTTACTTATTGTAATATTGTGTATTCTTATATTGATGAGACAGAAAATCTCGAATTAGGTCAGATAGTTCAAGTGTACTGAAATAATTCAAATGTTTGACGTTTGACAGGAGACTGATAATGATGAGAGGAACTTTGATTCAGTAACAGTACACCGTGTTTATTACGTTAGAAAAAAAGACGAAACACAAACTGTGATGTGACAAATGTTAGATAGCGTAATTAATAGCTCAACGAATATTTTCTTACTCATTTACTTCAGATTGAGTGGTGGCGTGACTAATATTCACTCATTCAGATCCAAAATATAATTGTTAGAAAACATGTGTATTGCAGATAGTATAGTCTTCACTATTTAGAAGGTTCTTTGAAGTGTCATCTATGTTGTAATAACGCTGAAAAGTATGTTCATCTTTACTCGAATAATTTCTCTCCAACTAAATGAGCTGGAATCCAATCCGCACTATCGAGATGTTCATGCACTCTGAGTATATTCACACACTCTCGAAATGTCATTCAGCATCCTCAGATAAATAATGATAGATAGACAGATAGATAGATTTCCGTCGTTGAGAAATTTCATTCTCTGGATCAGCTGTAAATCGGTTATCCTCAACACACAAGACTATTGCATTTGCTTGTTCTTACGTATTGTTATCTTTTCAGATTTGCATGAACCATACAACTTGATGAAACGGATGTCTACGAAAGTAGAATGGCTTAACATTTATACATGTAAGTGACTGCATTAACATACGTTTTGCGGTAACCATGATTTGTGAAATTATACTACTTTCATAATAGGCAATTGTAAATATGCATTGAATCCTAAGAAATGTTGATCAACTGATGAGACAAAGCATTGGTTATGTCGATTAAGGAGGCAGCAACTATTTTTTTATTCAACGGTTAACTTTGAAAACAGTTAAATCGTTCATGAATCATTGAGTTGGTGTGAGAGGGTGTCTTCTCTTTTTAGAGTAGCGTAGTTATGTAACCATTGTCTTTAGTCAAAGCGATACACTAAAAATAACGTTGGCTTCACTGTAAACTGTTCGAAATTATTATTTGCAGTGAGTGTTTCTGGACTGCTCTCTATATCCACTTGACTGTATGCAGTGTTTGTAGTTGCGAATGCGTATGATAAGGAGCGGATTCTAATTTCCCTCGTATCTTAGTTTCCTGTATATCAAATATCCATGGTTAATGAGTTGTTACCTTTGATTTTCAGTTCGTTTACAGTTTTATCAGGAATTAGTTCCCAAAATGAAAACACGGCTACTGTCAGGTGAGACTTGATTTCATCTCACTTAATTGGTGTTTTTATTGACGATTTGTGCAATTGGAAACCGTGTATCAGCACTTTCTTTCTCACAATTGTATTACGGAGAATTCTAGTTCCTTCTGTTGGTTTATGTGAGCATGTTTGCTGGACGATAGTCGTCCAATAAAACAAACGGAAATCATTGTAGAATAGAACGAACGTTAACATTTGAGAAATTCACGATGCTTGTTCCTTTCAATTCGAGAGTCGTCGGTTGAAGGCACCTGATCCTCATAGCGGATGAATAAATTTAAGTCGAAAATATCAGTAATGCATTTATCTAAATCATTCCAGACTGTATTGAACTTTTCATCATGCCCACGTTGATCTTTCAAACACAATTAGACTAATTTTAATCATAGTCGGTAAGTCATCTGATTCTCATTGTCGGCTTGTTATTCCACATAACGAATCACTTGCTAAATTTCCATGCCTGATAAACCACCAGTTCGTCGTATACTTTCATTAAAGTTTAGTATAAAAGAATACTCTGAAGTTCCAAACGTTATGGAATCAATATTGATTTATTTTCCATATGTTTGGTTAAAGAGATTAACCTACACATTCTGATCTCAGTTTCGTAGACTGGTTCAGTCATCTTACAAACACATTTATAACAGTTTGTGAGACATTGAGTCATTTAGAAAGCTATGACAAATTCATATACATGAACATGAAACTGTAAAAACACAGCTTAGTCTGGCTCTCACTGATTAAATTATCGTAGACAAATGCTCACTCTGAGCAAACAAATATGACTTTCAGGAAAGTCAATATAGTTAGGTTAATTTGTATTTAAATTCTTATGAACTCTATTCACTGAAACATTCATCTTGTAATCATAATACTTCTTTCTTTCAGGTCTTAAACAAATTAAAAAATTATTTCCTCTCCACAGTGGTTTATTCAGAATCATCGTGCAGAATGCTTTGAGACGTGTGTAACGGATTCCCTGTACATGAAATAAACAAACATTAAGAAATATACTTTGCACGTTTTTACTAATTGATGTTATTATGAATGATATCCACGGCAATGTGTAGGTGCAGTTGTTATATTGTGAGTATTGTCATTAATTACCTCAGCTATTAAGATTAAACCAAAGGATACAGTTTGTAAACAGATGAGGAATGCTTTCAATGAAAAAGGACGGTCATGGTGACTACGTATGGCTAAGATATTGTTATGATGCGCGATAATGAGATCTGTTAAGTGATAAGGCAAAACGGTCTCCTCCAAAAAACTGACTTGCTGAGTGAGAAGATGAAGAAAAGAGTAGAAAGTCTTCGTACTTGTAAACAAAGTTTACCTGTTTTATTGAATAAACTGGTGATGTTTAGCTCATCCGACTTCGTGTCACTCTTTCATGATCGTGCTTCGTGCCTTATTTAATCGTAGAGATACAAGTTACTATTAGTGAGTTACTGTTAGTCAGATCGTTTAAGATTCAGTGATTGATCTGCTAAACACTTCACATAAAATCTTCAAAGCTGCACACGTTCAGACATTATCAAACATCAAGCTTTGGTCTGAGCACTTTGAATGATGATATTTTGTTCCATCGTAACCACATTTACAACTTAAATAAAACTAGCGGTTGTAGAATTAGTTCTTTCAGGATCCTACTTCGTGCATTATTTAATCGTAGAGATACAAGTTACTATTAGTGCTCCAAAAGATTTGAGGTCCTTGTCATCTACATTCATAACTAACCAATCAAACCATGGTTCAAGCGTTCACCACATGGTCTGGTCTGACGTGTCCGTAAACTATCTTTGTGGTAAATGACCTACTAATTGAAGGATATCATTATCTTATTATATTGATGTGACTCATACTTTTGTTCATTCCCGTAAGACACGATACATTGGTCGGTATGTTTATTCGTTTCACTTGGTAACTGTAATTTCCTTATTCATTGTACTGATCTAATTGTTCTTATGTTGAGAAACAGAAAGAGTGTAAAACCAAATTGATCTTGTTCTGACCATATCTTTCCCAAAGACTCTGTGCTCGCCAATATTGCATTCAAAGTCATACAACTACATCTGTAGAACGAATTAAACCCTACAATCCTAGTATTTGGGATTTGCACTGATTCTCGACGTTGCTAACTAGCAACTACTCAGATTACCCGAAAATGTGATGGACAAATTTTCGTAAGGTTATTTCACTTCAAGACTTTGCAAAACTGTTCCCCTTTCAACTAGACTACTGAATGTACAGAAGTAGCAAAACAATACCAACAGTAATGATTTGTTTAAAACACGTAAATCTTGACACAAGTAGGCGTAAGGAACGAAAATGATGATAGATTCGCAAATGAATGTGCGTTCAACAAAATGGTTACGGTTGGCATTGCATTCACCGACCTTAGCTGCTGCCCCGACATGGTGTTTGAGCTTGCCTATCGTCATGACGCAACCCAGTTATATTGGCTGGAATATCGATTCACGCTCAAGAGCTAGGCTAGCACATTGAAAACTGACCATGGAAATGCCATTAGTGACCGACCCTATGTCGACCAACAAAATTGACTCAACCGTGGACTCAAATAGACCACATTACTATTAACCACTGACGTAGAAGCTGGATAAAAGTCCGCTACTCGTTCTAGAGCACACGATCAGATCATGCTCTTGAAGGAGCACATATTTCTCTGCTGCTTACCAATCAGAACAAATATTGCAATAGCTACGAGCTGTACCATGAAGACTGAACGAACAAAAGTGGTGCACTGCACAGTAAGCCTAATCAAAGTATTTTTGGGATAGAGCTCCTTGAGTCATCTCTGTTGAGATATGTAACTCGTGTCTTTCACACCACATGCAGAATATAAAATCACTCCCTCCATACAATTTCAAACCAGCAACATTCACACTCTTCCGATCGAGCTAACAAATCCTACTGGAAACTTTATTAACCTGTATAATATTTTTCGTCCTAACCCTTGTCACCAACAAATTGTGCAGTCCAGTAACCATTCTCTGATTACGAACCCTTCGTAGCACCTGACATACACTTGAGTTTGTTCACATCTAGACAGCAGAAAAGTACTCAGATTAATCAAGGAAACCTGTATTGGAAATCCGACTGTTAGTGAAATCGTATAAGTAAAGGATCAAACTATTATTCATTCACAATCCAGAAGATTGGGTAGATGTGTAGAACAAATAAGAGACATTTCGACTGGCGTTCGTTCACACTTCCGTTACCTATGATCTCAGGCCAACTTGCACAGGAGGCTGATGTAGGTCCTCCAACTCATTTTGAACCTGAAAAGGCTTTATGTACAGGAAGACGAGAAATAACAGCAGGTCCAGATAAGTCCTTCACTGAGGCTGAAGATTGAAGGGTGGGTAGAAATCATCATGAGGCGATTCAACTACCGAATTTCGAGTTTGCTGGCAAGATCAAATTATAAAACTGCCAACATATTTACTGTAAAATGTTGTTCAATCACTTAAATATTTCATTAGTTTCATAAAGAAGGTTAACATTTTCCCAATAAAGTTATAGATAGTGTTTCAGACTCTGAAATGGACAGTGCGATAACTTGCATCATTTTCAGTTTCTTCTGGCAAATGTACTATGAGTTTAACACATGTATATATCTGCAATTTATTAACATTTAAACACCCTGCTATATTGCCGAAGTATTGCCATACTCATGAATTTTCGACACTATTTACTTCATTTTCCTTCGTCAGCTACCTACTCTTCCCATCTCTAAACTAACTATTAACTGACATTTCTTACAGCTTATACCACTAGTTGATTTCTTATCAGTGGTATATGCCACATGGATATATAATCCACTATACAGAGGCCAGGGCCGTTTGTTTGCTTGTAACGTGGAGTTGTTGAAGGAAGTGTATTCCGATAATATGTGCCAAAAATGGATTCTACCCGATACTATTTGTTACATCTGTTCATACAATCATTCGCCTAATTGTTATCTTACTAGAGGCTTGTTTTCGTCAATCTACATAAATCGAGGTATACAGTAAGAATTGTGATACAGAAAAAGGTCTCAATGATCATACATTTGTTTTATCCGAGAACGTATTTGTTGAGTCATGACTCAGCTTCAGGCAGGAATATTTTCTGTTCTGCTCCTCGCCCTTTTCCTCTTCTTTCTCATTTTCAGCACCTCATCCTATTCTATTTTGATAGTGTCGAAGATTAGGTTGCTTTACTTAGGAGCCTGTCAAACTGTTATCTCAAGAATCTCAACAGAAGGATCATTACACATTTACCTCATTGTCGCAATGCAAAGTGCATAACTGGCCTCAACTATTGTACCGTACATTTCAGAGTTTGAAACATTTGCAATTTTGAGCGCGCGCGAACTCTGAAAGTGGTAACATTTTTTCGCGTTGTATAGTGTTTTTCCGAAATATGTCATTCGTACTGTATTATACTGATTTAGTAGAGTTTATCTATTGTGCTCGGTGCAATTTGCTTCTAGAAAGCAAACCTTCTAAGTTTTCAATCAGTTAATACATACTTGTCGTTTGATAACGTACTTAACTTCTCAATACACTAGTTCAAGCCTCCTTATTGACTGACAGTGATTCTCACACTTCATAACTGAACCTCTTATCTTTAAAATCTATCTCTTTCGCCATTGATGTTTAGTATTAACATAGTTAATACAGAGTAAGTTATTCCTTCAGATATTTGAGTTAATTAGACAAACAATTATCCCACCTAATTTTCCATTATGACAAATAATTCGAGTAAAAGAGAAATGTCTCCAGCTTTCAAACCACCCAAAACAAAGGCATAATGGTTATCTCGGATCTAACGCCTTGTCAACGTCATGTGAAAACAAGAGAGGCGACAAGATCACATAACGGTGTTGCAGCAGACAATCTACAGAAGATAATCCCCAATGTCAGGAAAGTAAATAAACAAATTAACCACGATGTAGATCTTGGTGAGCCTGTGAACCTTCTAACAAAGTACGGATCCCCTCTGTCATCAAGAAATCGAATGACACCTACATTCCTGATCTCAGCTGTTCGAACGTTAACTTGACTGAATATGTCCCAAAAAACAACACAGTTCCAGCTAAAACTAATAAATTTAAGAATAGATCCTTAAAATATATCACACAAGAGTATACGATAGAAACTGACGTTTTTTCGAAAAACACATCCGGGGGACCAAAATATTCTCCGTCATTAACTAAGAAGAGTGAAGATACCTTAAACTATTTTAGATCAGCTGGAAATTCGTTTGATATATGTCTTATTAATGCTCGTTCAATCTGTAATAAAAAGACAGATCTAGTCATGTTTGCTACTATCTGCCAACCATCACTTATAATGATAACTGAGGCATGGACCTGTAGTAATACTTCTGATCTTACTATACCTCTTGAAAACTATGATCTGTTTCAAAGTGATAGGTTACAAGAAAGAGGTGGAGGATGCCCTATATATGCCCACTCTAGCCTAAACTCGCTCTTATGTGATATATCGGAACTAAATAGATTGCCAGACTCTGTGTGGATCGTTCTGAAACCGTCAAATGCCGTTTCCTTACTGTTCGGCTGTGTCTACTGTCAGCCTCATGCACCAACAGGAGATCTAGCATTACTTTCAGAAGTATTCACATTTGTTTCATCCCTACCGTTCACAAGCGAGGCTATTTGTGGGGACTTCAACATGCCTGAAATCACTTGGTTCACAATCAAAGCACCTAAACGATTCGAATCATTTATTGAATGCTTAGAGCTTGGAGACTGGACTCAACATGTTAATGGCCCAACCAGAAATCAAAATACATTGGATTTGGTTTTCACCAGCAATCACATTCCTCACACTGTATATGTTGGAAAAAAGTTCCCAGGTAGCGATCATAATATGGTCATATGCAGCCTTGATATAGGAGCTACAACTATAAAGTATAAATCCACTACACTTCGCAGGGACTT